AGCAGACGCCCAGGGCTGATAACTGATCAGGCCATGGATGGAGACCGCCCGACCGAGGGTGACGTGACAAAGGGGCCAGAAAGAAGGTCCTTTGCTTGTTAGGCGTTGAGTTATGCTAGTTGCAATAAACGAAGTGACGCAATGGAGTTATCCCAATTGTAATGAAGTAATGACCCGGTTGCGTCTTCCACACCGCATTCTCCGTCGTTAGACAGTGGAATATGACAGCTGACAAATTACGCAGAACGGTGGAAGCGACGCTCAAGAGTATAACAGGCTATTTCCTCGCACATTCGGATTCGTAAGCCGGTCGCTTACGCACAAAATGCGCGAACGAGGGGTGTATGTGCACAAATGTTGTAACGGTACGCGTCTAAGATGACATAACAAGCGTGTTTTATGTTTATTCATTGCATATCATTACCTCACACCATGCTCTTTACTTTCCGCTTCGGTCCTCCTCAGCTTTGGTAGGTTACAGTCTAAGACTTGTGATGAAGACAACTCGCCAGAGCACATATACATTTGTCTTATTGTATTTGGAAGATTAGGTGATCTCTTACCGGCTCCAAGTGACTCGTGTTGCCTGCAGAACGGCGCCTTACATTGATCAGCATTCCACTCGTGACATTTCGTGATATTCGCATTCCCCTTGAATATCAAGGCGTGACATTGGATTTTGCAGACTGCATGTCCCGGAGCTCTTGATGGGAGCAAATTCAGAAGCAACAACATGCCTGCCGCATGTTCCAGCTCACATTGAGGATATAAGTAACGTTAAAGCAATAATATACATGAAAAGTGTATGTATTTAGTAATAAGGTATTCCGTTTAAGTGTGCGGTATGCCGCGTGCAAGTTGTTGTCACACGCCCAGCTGATGATAGCTGTCTTAGTGCAACATAGTCCGTCGTGCGCTAACTTGCTCTTGTATGTGAATCGCTTCGAGATACTGATCTTCTTTCTCTTCCCGTCACTAACCATGACGGCATGCTACGACATGATGCCGGCAAAGATGACAATGTTGGGCATCAAGGAGGAAATACATCAACGTCTGTTCACGTAGTTTTGGTAGGAAAAATCCGTGCTACTTGCACTTATGATCGCCATTAGTCTCCTCAATCACAATGACCACTATTACTATCGTTATGTTCATTAACCCTCACCCGGCCAGGGAAGTTGGCTTCCTCCCTACGGTTTTTTCAGGCACAGATCAACAATGAACACATGCAGCAGCACCAAATTTGCTGAAGTAGTTCTATTAATCTTTCTTCCTTTGCACCATTTTGAAGGTTTCATTTTCCAAGCCCAGTGACCTAGGTCAGGTTAAAAGGTCAACTTCTGAAAATTTTTGACCACGCATAACTTTTGTTGTACGACACTTACCGTTTCTAAAATTTGCTATTATGATATAAAGCGATAATATCTACAGTTTGTGTGCTTCAGGTTTTCCGAAATAAGGGGCTCAGTGACATGACGTGAGGTCAGTTTTGCTATATTTGACAAATAATGCAAATGTATGCGCATTTCCGTGTAGTTTTGGTGTCTGCATGTTAGGAAAAGATTACTAACTCAGATGCGCAACCATCATATGATCACAGAGCACAATCATTGACCTAGGCCATGATCAACCTCTATGGGTGCCTTCTGCAAAACACACGCTACGCTCAAAACAGGCAGCTTTGTTAAATAAGTTTGGGCGCAAAATTCGAATCATCCACTGCAAGCATGTTGTGATATCATTTTAATGACTAAGGAGGTCACAATGGGTCACGTGCGGACATGCAAGGTCATATGTGGCCATCCAGGGCTAATGACCCCTGTTGTCAGTAACGGAGAGGTCGAATAAACGAGCGTAACGCGGGTAACCGGGCGCGGTTGTCTCAGACTTCCGTCCGGGCGCGGTTGTCTCAGGCTCCCGTCCGCGCGCGGCTGTCTCAGGCTCCCGTCCAGGCGCGGCTGTCTCAGGCTCCCGTCCAGGCGCGGTTGTCTCAGACTCCAGCCCAGGCGCGGTTGTCTCAGGCTCCCGTCCGGGCGCGGTTGTTTCAGACTCCCGTCCAGGCGCGGTTGTCTCAGACTCCCGTCCAGGCGCGGTTGTCTCAGACTCCCGTCCGGGCGCAGGTTAAACAAGGCATACAGTGGAGTGAGATCTCAAATCAGGAAGGCGCAAGAACAGAAGCTTGACGCACCTGGTCTGAAAAAAAGACAGAGAAGTGCTTCACTGAGATCGCCGCCATGGTACAGCTCGCTCAGCTTCTCCTACATGAGCTTCAACGGGGATGCCACGCTCAAATGCTGTAGAGAGGAAGATGATTGAGAGCATGCTAGAGTTCGCCGGACCTTGGGAGCGGAGCAGGAAATGCTGAGTGGTGGGCCACCACCGAGCCGTCATTTCTACTGAGTTCTGCGCCATGCAGTAGAGAACGTCGGTGATATAAAGGCTGCTTGTGTCTGAAAATGATGCGCTTGGTTTAAATGAAAGAATGGCTTTCATCTCCTGAGCGATGCTTGGTGTCGACACCCTTCTGCAGGCACGTCAACTGGCATCCCGGCGGCTTCAGCCGGTGTGCTTCGGCGGAGCGAGTGACTCGGGGACAATCCAGCAGTTTAAAGCCTTATAAATTTTGGCATAAATCCTGTTCCAACGCCGCATCCATGTCACAGATCTGGCGGTAAAATGAAAAACTGGTTTGGACCTATGCAATTTATTTTTTAACAGCGCTTTTCCATGCCGCAAGATCTTAACAAATGTGAGCGAATACGTGAGCTTCGATCAGAAGCTTTAACAAATCTTGGGTGAAGTGATGCTGTGGGTGAAAAGCGGAAGGCTGATCAACGTTAGCAATTTTGAATTCACTTCTGCTATTCGTTTCAATAAAGGCACGTTGCCAAAATATTAACGCAACTATACCTCCACTCTCCCTGTTTTTCCGAGGGATAAGGCTATTACTACTGTCTTATCTATGTGGATAAGGTCCATTGCACATGTACTTAAGTTACGTAGGACATTATTGTGTGATATTGGGAAGACTGGTGTGCACCCAAGCATGCGTGCTACTTTCAGCGGTCCCACCTGACTGCCTAAATCAGTAGAAATTGTGACGTTCTTGTTTACCCGCAGACTTGTCGGTCACTTCAAAGACCCCGTCAGGCTCCAGACGCGCGTAGATTAACCGCGCGAGAGATGATGGCTTCCAGGAAGCTGGATGACAACGGCCCCAACCGGCCGACAAGCGTCGCTCTTCTGAGGGCTGAAGCCGCAAGGCGTGTTCTGTGTCACGACGGCTGACATCTGTGTGTGTATATGTGTAATTGTATGCGTGCTTTTTTCTGACTGGCCTGGCGCGCTGCTGCCAGTGTGCGGTCGCCGGGCCGCCCCTGTGGTGGGTGTCGGGAGTAGGTCAGGGTCGAGCGGCCGTCCCGGCGGCGGCGCGCGCTCTGCGTCAGCCAGCGGCGTGGCTCGCTCTGCGTCAGCCAGCGGCGGCGCCCGCTCTGCATCAGCCAGCGGCGTGGCTCGCCCGTTGCCGGCAGCACACGCACGTCACATCCGGCTACGTGTATTTACAAATCACAGACATGTATGTACGTACGAACACGGGCAGGCATCGACACAACGCACAAAGCACCGCCGTCTAACTCTCACAACAATCAACATGACGGGAGATTATCTCGCAGACAGGGCGTACGCACGGCCCGTGAGGTTGACAAAAAGCGCGCTCGTCACACTTCCGAGGGCCGACCCGACGCACCATCGCGCCAGCAAGCGTCGCCCCTCTCGTTCACACCCGATAGGCCGGCGCGGGGCCGCGTGCGAGTCTCGCTTGGCGGCTGAACGCGGTCACGCGAAGCTCGCTCGCTGTCACGCCGTGGAGAGCTGTGCCCGCTGTCCTGAAGCCGCGTGCGAGAGGGACCAGCCCTCGCCACGGGCGGAGGCGGACCGCAGGCGCCCCTGGCTGGGGGCGTCCGCTGACCCACAGCCGAATTAGCAGGCACGTTGTGCCCTCGCCACCAGACGGCGTGGTTTTTTATCACGGCCTTGAGGCGCCAGCGCCCCAGCTGGTGACATATCTCCCTCTTCACACTCACCATCTGCCCACCTGTACTGGCCTTGGCGGACGTTCGACTGGTGCGACGCCCATAGCTAACTTCCGTCTAATTGCGACGCCTACTCAGCCCAAAAGCATTACTCAATGTTAAACTCCACAGCTCCCTTTTCGCAACTCGGTCCCATATGGCCTTCAGCCCGAGGCGAGGCTGGTAGGCACGGTGACACGTCACTGGCGGCTGCGTGATGACAAGAGTAATGCCCACTTGAAATATCTCCAGCGCGAACGAGGCGCCGACGTACTGGCTGGAACTCCCCACTTCCGGCCCGATACCGTGTCGGCCACGTAGCTCGCCGTGTTGTCGCGTGTTGTCGCGAAACTCGAGGCCACCACCGCACACACATCTGCGCAGTGACTAAGCGGCGACGGTGGCGACACGGATCCAGCCGGGCCACCGCCACCCGGCCGTGAGCCACGCTGAGGTCGCTGCGCTTGACGCTTTGACGTGTCCTCGCACCGTGGTCAGCCGGCGGGCTCCGGCCGGGAGGTTGGGTCGGGAGCGGTGCCGCTCGCCGCCGAGCTCGACCCGCACCCGGGCGGCGCCGCGCCGGTGTGCCTCCCAGCTCCGGTGCCGGGCCTCGGCCAGTCTACAGAGCCGCACCCACTTCACCCCGTCCATCGACGTGCAGTTGTTTGGCGAATCTAGCTTCGGGCCATCCCCTGAGCTCGGCGCCGGAGCGTTGACTAGTGTGGCCGACCGGCGGCGGCGCATCACGAGCGGCGGCCGGCCGCGACGACGGGCAGCAGCGGCAGCAGCAGGCTCGGCAGCAGCAGCAGCAGGCTCGGCAGCCGGCTGGCCGCGCCGCCCCCTGCCCGGCGCGGCTGGGCATCGCCGTCCCCGAAGCCGATCACTGCCGAGAGGACGGACCACGGTCAGCGCGCGCGGGCACGGCCGCCTCCCCAGGGGACCCCGCGGTCAGCGGGCACGGGCACGGTCGCCTCCCCAGCGCACCCCACGCGTTCTGGGGCCACATCCCCACAGTCGGCGGGCACGGACCGGGGCAAAAATATTGCCCGCCTCGCAAGGCCATGTCCGGCCCTCACTGGACGCTCCCAGTCGGTTCGACACGATTTTGAAGATGGTTTTCGACAACGCTCGTAAGGCGGCACCAAAATTGCAATACGATTAAACAGAAGCCGAAGAAAAGAGAAAAGCTAGTGCATTGCTGAGACAATCAACGCAAACGAGATTAACCACCTCCCGTCAAACAATGGTAAGTGCACAGGTACATGTAAAAACGTGCGCGAGTGTTAAGCGTGCAACGAATGCAAGGAATACTTTTCTACCTCGGAAGCACGGCTCAAAATGGGTTGGTTGCATCATTTTCGTTATTAATGGTAGGGTACTCGTTCACGTCCATGCAGTGCCCCAGGTGCAATGCTACATTCCTGAAAGTCTGGGCACGAGCCTTCCCAGCCCGCTGTGCAGAGGTCATGCTGTTAATAGTAAAGTTTGATGACAGCACAGAACCTTCGTAGCCCTCGAGGCCGGGGCCCGTGCCCGTGCGTGGAAATCGGCGCCGCATTCACTGGTTCTTCTATAATACGTGGGTTAAGCTCTCTCCCGTGCAAACGTATGTTCAGGTGCACGTGCGGCTTAAACATAAAATCGTACCTGTAAGTGTGCGGAAGCACACGAGTCAGCCTTTAGGCTTCTTTACCTAAAATAAAACAACACAAAGGTACTAACTAGGCGATGGTAAATCAAACAAACATAAACTGCCTCTTGCAAAAACATTAATCCAAAAATGAAAACGGTTCAATAAGACTCATGCACATGCAGTGCTGCTTGAAAATCAAAAACACGCATTGAGCTGCATCATTATTGGCAAATATAACTTATACGCATGTATGTTGTAAGCGAGCAATGCACCTATCTGAATTGACAAAGCATCGAGTACCTATTTTAGTGTCCGCGGATGACTGACTTCGGATAGCAAAGGACTAGCGCGCATATACGCTGGTATGCTTTAGATTCTCCGCCCAGGTCCTCCAGACCTTCGATGGTTGCTGTATCGTTTTTGATCTTGCTAGGTTGTTTCGCACGCGTCACACATTTTGACTCAGACAGGCCTCGGAATCCGACAATGATGTGATGATGCTAACGCGGCACAATTAACACGGCGTTGCCTGTCAGCGCGCTCTCTCTTCCTCCCTCCCTCCCTCCCTCTCTCTCTCTCTCTCTCTCTCTCTCTCTCTCTCTCTCTCTCTCTCTCTCTCTCTCTCTCTCTCTCTCTCTCTCTCTCTCTCTCTCTCTCTCGCTCTCTCTCTCACTCTCTCTCTCTCTCTCTCTCTCTTCCCCTCTCTCTGGCTCCGCCTCGGCCGGACCGTGGTGCAGCTGAGCTAGCTCTCGGGGCGTCCGCCACAACAGCGCCGGCGGCTGGTGCTGGTGACCCTCGCGACACAATCGGCGCAACGCTGACGCGGCCGGCGCCGGCGCCGGCCCGGACGCCGCCGCCACGGCAGCGGCGCAACAATGACCAGTGGCGTCTGGACCGCTCGGAGCGGGTCGGCAAGGTCAGCCAGGCTCAGTGCGGGTCGCCGCCGGTCACGAGCCGGGCCCCCCGGGACCTCCGCCGGTCAGGGTCAGGGCAGCCTCAGAGTGCGGCCTGCTGTTCATGCCGTGTTGACCCAGCCGGTAAACATTTGTGACCTGAATGGCAGCACCTTGCCGCCGCGCGGTAACCGTGTGTGTTTTTTTCTCGCAGCAGCCGACAGAGGGCTCGTTGTGCGGACTTAGCTGCAAATCAGGGCACCGCGTTTACTGCCCCACCCGCGGCAGAACCGGGGCGGTAACAAACGTCACGGCGGCCGACGGAGATCTAGTCGCTACCCAGAGTTTGGTGTGGCTACTCTACGCTTGCTTTGGGCTCAGCTAGGAGGTCTGTGCAGGCGCGCCGCGGCTTATCATCAGGTCGGGGCGGGCGGGGTCGCCGCCACAGGTGGCGGCCGGTTGCGATGTTGTGTGGTGTTTGGGACGTCTCCATGGCGAAGCTTCGATCGCCGTGCACCGAGCAGCGCGGTTCACTGCTCGCGGCGAGCGTGGCCGCGGGGCCGTCGCCAATGGCAAGGGCACCGACTGGTGACACCCCACGTCCGCTGACCGCCCGCTGACAAGTAAGGCCGCTATAAATCAACCGCTGAGCTGCACCGGCAAATCGAAATGGAATCCCCCAACCCTACCTCAACAAGATACGGTAGAAGCAAGTCATTCTGGCTCACGACTTGATTTTCGAGCAATTACATAACTCGACGCCCGATTTTGGAAACCTGGCCACCACCAAGAGCCGATGACAAGCCCAGCGTCGGCATTGGTACGTCTCGGGGATAAGGAACACCATCGCGGTTGGGTGTTACCGCTGGACCGGCGGCCGGCGCTGATTCAGCGCTCGATACAGTAACGCAAACACGCGCACACAGGCAACGGCACACTGCGGTTTGAAACCACGGCTCTCACTGGGACCCTGTCTCGCCACGGGCCCGCCCTGGAGGGTCGGCGCTGCCTGGTGACGGCAGCCGGAATTGTAGCGGAGGAATGGGCGCTCCCAGAGAACTAACGGAGAACATGCTCCTCAGATGATCTCTCAAATCTATCTGGAGCTGCTTTGGAATGTACTTGTTCACGCACTCGTCGTACGCTTCGTGGACCACCCTCATATAGTTGGCAGAAGACCATGCCAATGCCAGTTGCTGAATCAACGATCGCCCTTCACCGCACGCCATCAACAATGACTTGTTTTTGTCGTGAACTGATTCCGTGGAAAAATGGCGTCACCTGGAATTATTCAGCAGTGCCAGCGACAGCAGGTACTTAACCGGCGCGGCCTGGGTCATTTCCAGGAACACGTTGGGCAGTCCTGATATCTTTCGATGCGGCAAAAATGGCCTGTTTACGCCAGTGCCGCGCCTACCGCGAAAAGAAACGAAACATTGATCCTGACCCATTGCGTAACCAGTTTAGCCGCCGCGCTGTGGCGGCACGCAGTCGCCCGCGCACAGACAGGGACGCTGCAATCACGTCCGGCCAGAGTGCTCGAATTGAATGCGTCTGTTCGCCTTTCATTGACAGCGGGGTTGCCAGTGTTTCCTTGTCAGCCGCCCTAACATGGGCCGCGTATAAACGACCTTACGGCCGACCTTTTGGGCACCGTGCGGGGTCGCGCGCGAGGTCAACACCGGCGGCGGCTTATCGATTCGTGAGTGCCGTTCGTGGAAGGACTGCAGGAATGCCACCACGAACCGTGGACGAAGTGGGCGGCTCGCCGCCTGTAATGACCTCACGTGACCGTCTGTGCACGCGGTCAGCAGTGGACAGCCCAGGGGACGCGGGGCTGCTCACGCACTATCAGCATGCCTTCATCCGCGCTCTATCGGAGATTTTCACGTTCAGCTAACGAGAGGCCTCGCATCCCCCCCCCCCCCCCCCGCTGTAAAATATCAAAAACTAAGCAAGCTGGAGCCACGAAGAAAACGACACTGGAAAATCCTAGTCAAAGTATATCAGGAATTGTGACTGAATGCTGCTGAATGTGGCTTTTGACCAGTCATATTAGACAATTCATTTTTAACTTATTAAGGAGCTGCCCACCGCAGGACTACGAACGTAAGCCGAAGTTGCTCGTAATAAAAACATTTATAATGGCCAAACAGGGATCCCAGGCAGGACCAGCCTGGGCAAAATGCGTAGCTCACATCGCTACTCATAACAGCACTGGCTTGAAGATCGTCTAAAACTCATCCAAAAGCACGTTTTTGAGCAGAAATACACCACCTAGATCCTGCGACCCACACCCATCATTATGTTGATCGGCAGCAGCCTGCTCTGAAACAACGTCGCGTCGACGCTGCGTTGATGCCCGCCGCGGCGTGGGTGAGACTACAGCGCGGGTCACCGTCAGCTGAGGTGACCGTCACACGATCACACGTGTGACGCAGCCACCGCAGACCACGCAAGCAACGGCCACTCACCGGCGTCGCCGTCGGCCTCGCCGGAGGCCATGTCGCCGCGGACGCTGGACGGCGTGACCAGGTTGGAGGGCTGGTTGCTGCAGCCGAACCAGTAGGCGGCCACGGAGCGCGGGTACGGGATGGAGCTATCGTCCACCTGCCGGGCGGGACAGGCCGGTCAGTGCGGCGTCGCCCACGTGCCGGCCCCGGCAGGCAGCCGGGCGGGGCGCGAGGCAGTCGCCACCCGGAAAGGGCGGCGCGGCCGGTGGAGAGGGGCAATCACGGCGATTCTTAGCCGCTTTTGCGATGAGCGCCTGATGAGCGCTTTACGAGAAGTTGCACGGCATTGCAACGTTGACATCAAGTTGGCAAACAATGCTTGTCGCACCTGCTGACCACTTACCATGAAGTCGATGTCGTCGAATCGGTAGTATTCATTTCCTTTGAAGAAGTAGGTCCTCTTGTTTTTGTACGTCATGACACTGTCGATGTTGTTCGGTATGCCGTCCCACGTGTTGATGGGTCGTGGGTAGTCGGAGGCCACCTCGGGCTCACTCTTGGGATCGTACCTCCAGTATCGGTTGCCCTTGAAGAAGTATACTTTTCCGTTGGGTATCCATTGGAAGACGGCAGCCACGTTGTCCTCGATTCCTCTAAAGCCTGCCGAGATCTTCTTGGGATATCCAGCGTCCATTTTAAATCCTGTCATACGCCAGTACTCGGAGCCCTGCGCAGAAATATACCTCGGTTAGCCACATTGCACTGTTGCACCAATTGACAAATTCATGGAAATCAGATATGTATGAAATCATGGTTACTTTTGATAGAGGTCAACTCAACAATAGCCAAAGGACACCATGATTTTCTTTCCTGGCAGGCTAAAAACACGCACGATCTTGCGCCGCTGGATTACACTTCCATTCATCTATAGTTAAAAATCACATATTCAACAAGTAGAACAGTGTGGGCCGACTATGAGCTCACCTTGAAAAAGTAGATCCTTGCAGTGCCAGACAACGTCAGAACAGCGTCAACATTGTTCGGAGCACCGTCCCATGCCTCCGCAATCTTTCTTGGGTAGTCCTTCTCCACACCCTTATCGGTCAATCGCCAGTAATTTTCTCCTTTGAAGACGTAGGTGCGGTTGTTGGACGGGACGGTAAAAATGGCATCGACAGAGCTGTCTGTGCAGAGAATGCTGTCGTCTTCAGTCTTTGTCATGCTGTCTTCGTCCCTTGAGGTTCCCCCTCCACCTGTCGTAGCGGGCACCTTCGGCTTGATGCTGGCTGGTTTTCCGTACAGCTCCTGTCGGCAGTGCAAACTTTCCGTCAGCGTCTGCAAAGGTCCAGGGCAGCGAGCTCCCCATCATCGAGCCTAGAGATACAAAACCTGAGATCCCAATCCGAGAGACATAACACATGAGACCCCAGCCCGAGAGACATGGAACCTGAGACACCAATCCGAGAGACACGGAACCTGAGACACCGATCCGAGGGACAAGGAACCTGAGACACCAATCCGAGAGACACGGAATCTGACCAAGGAACCTGAGACACAGATCCGGGAGACACAGAACCACGACACGCCAAACCTCGAGACGTAACATCGCATGCCGATCTCCAGTGCATCAAATCCGGGACACCAATCCGAATGACCGAACATCGAGACGCCTAGCCCCAACACAACTAGCCGCAAGACTCCGAATCCTGACATGCCAATCCGAGGCACTAATCCCGATACTCCGGGGCTCGAGATGTCGATCTTCGAGACACCGGATTCGAGACCCCAAATTCGGGACACTGGATTCGAAACACCGCATTCGGGACACCGGATTCGATACACCGAATTCGAGACACTGGATTCGAGAAACTGAATTCGGACACCGGATTCGAGACACCGAATTCGAGACACCAAATTCGGGACACAGAATTCGAGACACCAAAGTCGGGACACCGAATTCGAGACACCAAATTCGGGACATCGGATTCGAGACACCGATTCCAGACACCTAATTCGGGACACCGAATTCGAGATACCAAATTCGAGACACTGGATTCGAGACAACGGATTGGAGACGTCAAATCTACGACGGGCGCCCGAGTCCCCGAGCTCCCAAACACATGGTCTCGCGCTGCCAAGCCCACAGTCACCAAAAACCGCAAGCCGGGCCCTGGCCAGCGTGGAACACCCATCCGCCGTCGCTTCCCCGCCGCATGTTTCATGCTATCATCCTACCGAACCCAACAGCAATACCTGCTGCTCTGGTCCGCGCCGGCGGTCACGGGCGCCGGTTGGGGCCGTCCAGCAGCAGCTGGTCCCGGCCCGCACGCGCCAGTGTCATCTCACCGCCGCCAGCCGTCGCGCGCACGGCGTCGCCGAGCCTCACCTGAATAGCCAATATGTCGTCCTCCTTGATCACGTCGCGGGAGAGGCTGGGTGGTTTGTAAAAGGGTGCCATCAGCGCCTGATTGTCGGACGAGTGCGAGAGGCCCAGGCTGTGGCCGAACTCGTGCGCGGCCGTCATGAAGAGGTCGATGCCCCGCCGGCTGCGTGGGTTGATTGTCCACTGCTCGTCGTCGTCGAAGTGCGCGTCGCCTCCGTAGATGGGGAAGAAGGCGTGTGCCAGCGTGCCGCCCGGCCCGTCGAACGGATCGCCGTCGCTGTGGTCAGCCGCAGCGAACCTGGCGGCCGGGGTGGGTCAGGTCAGGTCAGGTCGGGTCAGGATGGCAGGTCAGGAAGCCAGGTCAGGAGATTGCCACGCAGCAGATCGAGGGACGATATGGCCGGCTCCTAGATGTTTTTGGCATTCCCTTGGTTGCTTGTGGTTGGGAGTGATTCATTTACGAACGATCAGTTAATGGCTGCTGCGATCAATAAAACAAGGAAGGAAATGGCTGCTGCGATCAATAAAACAAGGAAGGAAAACAGTGAAGGAAGCGAAGTGAGGAAATGATAGGTATGAGCATAAAAACGATGCTGTGAAAACGTGTTAGTTTATTTGCTGGTTAAAAAGGTGACTTACCTGATTTCAATGTTTGCCTTCTCAGTGGCAGCGACCTCTTTGAACTTCAGAGCAGAGACATCTTCCCAGGCCTGAAAGGAATCCCTGATTGCTTTTCTAACTCCATCCTCGTCCTGCAGCTTGCTTGGCCAGCTCGTGATTTTGTAGCTGAGATTCTTAACACGCCAGCGACTTCCTGAAATGCAGGTGTTTTTTAGACACTGCTACGTATAGTCCGTGGAGAATACACCGGCGCCGGCGGGAAGCCCAGGTCGGGAGAGCGCAATGAGCGATTTCCACTCTGCGAGGCACATCCCGGCTCGGGCTCTGTTGCGACTACAGCTCCAGACTGCTGCGGCTTCGCCGGCGGCCGTTATTTCGTTGAAGTGCTAACGTTGATCTCCTCAGCCGGATGATGTGCGGGTCCGTGTCGCATCCGCTGCCCCCCCCCCCCCTTCGAGGCCGACTCAGCGCACCCCGGAAACCCACCGCTGCGAACGCCCCTGCATACCAGGGCATATCGAGCGGAATATTGAACGCGGCGACGGCAGAACATCACCGGACAGACCCAACAACAAAGCAAACCTCTCGGTAGCACTTGCGCACAATACCCCTGTGCACGCGCCGAGCGCTTGTCGATTCAATGACGTCACAATGGCGTTTGACAAGACGGTGACGCGGTCCACAGCGCATTGGGCTGTTCAAACTCGGTGCTGGACGGACCGGTTACTGGCCGCGCTGGTACGGGGTGGCGGTGTCGAGCCGCGCTTCGGTCTGCACTTTGCATCTACCCATGCCCGTGGTTACATGACGAATTGCCCGGTGATAATAATACCGGTGGGCACATATCGGATGACACCAAACGCATGGTAAAGGTGCGCTGAGCCAAGCTACGTTGCAAGTGAGAGGAAGCTTTAAACATGCCTTAAAACGTGCCATAAAACCACAATGACCTCAAGTCATTTAGCACGGCTATCGTGTTGACTAGTCATTGATCGTCACCGATCGGCCCGGGGTGACGTCACCCATCTGATGACAACACACGCGAACTAGAGACGGGGCAACGCAGCTCGTGTCCCAGGCAGCTTACAGCCGCCCGCAGCCCCGCAAGCAACGCACCATATCGACCTGGCGCTGGGGCCGACCCGCCTCACCTGCTTACGTCACAGCCCAGCCAAACGGCTGACTCTGGCACGACCGGCGGAAATGAGACCGGTTACGCCTCCCCCCCCCCCCCCCCCCCAGCGTTCCCTCTCTGCTGCCGCCCCAGCGGCGGGTCGCCTAGGGTGTGACGCCGCAGTCCAGAGCAGCACAGTGGCGAAGCTCGCCGCTCTTGAGCGCGGGACGGAATCCCAGCCGAGCCCGACGACAAGGAGGCCACTGAACCGTGGCGCTGAGGCCCCAGTGGCACACACGCATTTTTTTATCAGCCTCAGCACTGTGGCTACTGGCGCTTTTTCGGTACCCCTAACATGACACGCATTTTACTGTGTTTGCGGCGACCGGTAGCGCCCCCCCCCCCCCCCCCTCCCCCCAGTTAGCGGCGGCTTCCGCCCAGTAGCGTGCACGCCCGGTGGGCGACGTACCTTGCAGGGCGTAACGCTTCCGGCGACGCGCGCGGTAGCTCGGCCCCAGTTTGTCCTTGACTCCGCAGCGGGGCTGGCGCATCTTGGCCAGCGTGACGTCGTTCAGTTCACCTGCGGCAGGGACGGCGGGTTACACAGGCACGCCCGGTCCGGCCTGAATCGGCCCTGCTCGGCCGGAGGATCGTCCACAGCTCGACCAATCCGGGCTGTCCCTTGGTGTTACGCAAACGCGTCGGCCCCATCCGTGACGGTGCAGCTGCCGCCGTGCAGACGAGCGCAGTGAGCGCCGAACTCGCTGAGCTTCTCCGCTGGCGCCCCGGCACCGGGGCGGGTCGGCTCAGAGGGCGCCGCTCCGGCACCGGGGCGGGTGGGCTCAGAGGGCGCCGCTCCGGCATCGGGGCGGGCAGGCTCAGAGGGCGCCGCTCCGGCACCGGGGCGGGCCGGCTCAGCGGGCGCCGCTCCGGCACCGGGGTGGGCCGGCTCAGCGGGCACCGCTTCGGCACCGGGGCGGGTCGGCTCAGAGGGCGCCGCTCCGCGCCGTTCCGCTCCATGTCCGCCGCCGGGATGTGCACGCGTAACCGGCTCTTTCGGCACATCCGTCAGTCACCGCAGCGGTATTTGAATACGCGCGGCGGATGTGCCAGCGCGGCGGTGGAATTGCCGCAAATTTCAGGCATAGCCGGGCGGTGCAGGCGCAAGATCCTTATCGGAGTTCAGTGTTGCCACAACCTTGGGAGGCGGGTGACCCAGTTATGCATGCCGCGGTGTATCGTTGGACGGTGGGCGGCGTGGCGTTAGAGCTAGAACGGCATGGGAATACCCCGGGTAAAGTAATCCGGACTCCAATGGTGTTAATGTCAACAGGAATTGCCGGATCTAAGCTGGGAACAAGAAACAACGAATACAGCTACGAAAGTCACAGGCTTTTGTAGACCACCCACAAATCTCCGGCTCATGCTCACAGTTACAACTTACATCATTGTTAGCTAGCGCACAACTTGTATCTCATCCTATCTGTGAGAATGGCCATGAATGAACCAGCTGCTCTGTACAGCTATTGCAACCATTAGCCATCACTTAAACACCGCTGTGGAGCCGTTTGCTGCACAACCAAATTTGTGCCGTCTGTCGCTGAAAGGTGAAAGGAACATGCCTTAGACTACCCCCCTCTCCTCGAGTAACACGTCACTCTCCCGTTGTATTCTCCTCATGGCTTGAACGCATATATATATATATATATATATATATATATATATCGCCGCACACGTCACTTCTACATGGTGGTGACACTACGGGACGTCACTGTTTAGCATCCCATCTAACCATCCGCTTATTTAGGGAGCAGGGAATGCAATTGACGCAGCGTTGGCTGCATACAAGCAAACTTTTGTTTTGATGGCTATTCAAAATCAAATTTTAGCAGCCCACGTCAACACCGCCAAGGCTGGCATAAGCCCTACGCGACTGGAGTGGGTGGGAAGACGGAACACACCTCTGCCAAGCACACGAACCTGTCACTTCAAGTCCGGCGAACTGCTGGAACTCAGCGATGTTGCTGGCGAGCGTGACGAGCGCACCAGACCGGTCCTCGCTCGGGCTGGAAGACGAGTAGCCGTAGCGCGCCAGATACGTCTGCAGGCACAGCGGGGAGCGTCAGCCGCAGCCCGCGGCGAGCCCGCGTCAGTGTACCAGCACCCCGGCCGAGGGGACGGCAAGCCCGCGCCAGGGTACCAACACCCCGGCCGAGGGGAAGGCAGGCCCGCGCCAGGGTATCAACACCCCGGCCGGGGGGACGGCAAGCCCGCGCCAGGGTATCAACACCCCGGCCGGGGGGACGGCAAGCCCACGCCAGGGTATCAACACCCCGGCCGGGGGGACGGCAGGCCCGCGCCAGGGTACCAACACCCCGGCCGGGGGGACGGCAAGCCCACGCCAGGGTATCAACACCCCGGCCGGGGGGACGGCAGGCCCGCGCCAGGGTATCAACACCCCGGCCGGGGGGACGGCAGGCCCGCGCCAGGGTATCAACACCCCGGCCGGGGGGACGGCAGGCCCGCGCCAGGGTATCAACACCCCGGCCGGGGGGGACGGCAGGCCCGCGCCAGGGTATCAACACCCCGGCCGGGGGGGACGGCAGGCCCACGCCAGGGTATCAACACCCCGGCCGGGGGGACGGCAGGCCCGCGCCAGGGTACCAGCACCCCGGCCGAGGGGACGGCAGGCCCGCGCCAGTGTACCAACACCCCGGCCGGGGGGACGGCAGGCCCGGTTTTAACGTGTTTGTGTCGGTCGCGTTGGCTTGCATGGATACCGTGAAGGTTACAGATTCCGACGCTACGCGAGAATCGTGACCGCACGTTTTCCTCCCGCGGCAGGTTAATCCTGCGCCCTCCTGCGGCAGTTAACCCTGCGTCCTCGCACCGTGTCGTCCGGCTGGGAGCCTGCCGGAGCCGTCAGCCGCGAGTGTTTGTCACGGCTGAGACTCGGCTGCAACCACAGCCTACGGTAGCCGCAGTGCTGCCCCGCCTCCCACAGGCCGCTTGAATCCTGAAGGTCTGATTTGGTGTATCGTGGCCGAATGGGCCCCAACCCAGACAGACCAGACCAGACGGTGGTGTCAGGAGATCAGGAGCCAGACAAGTCGCCCTGACACCCTCACGGATGTTGCCCTGAATTTCGTAGATCCGCGTGATCCTAAACTACCACCGGCTGCTACGTATTTGCAAATAAGGCAATGGGCACCATGAATATCGGGGAGACGCCTACATGGCGACATGGTGTCTGCTCCACGCAAGGCTGACACACCCCAACGTTGGGTACCCAATGTCTGCTGCCTGTGTCATCATCGCAGCAGGACGACGTGATCGACCCGCGCGGGCCTGGACACACACCTGCCGATTCCGTGCGGCGATAAAGTCGATACAGACGCATCAAGGAGTTTGCTAATGCGAGCCCATTAGGCCCACTACGAGAAACAGACTTCAGCACCACCTCCAAAAAGCTGTTCAATTTTGAAGCACTAGTATTGCAGCAGCACGGGAACTATCATGTTTCGTGCACCGTTTACATGCAATTTATTTTGACAAAATTTCGGCCCCGCGTCACATGCTAGCACCTAGAAAGATACAGGAGGAAGGCGGAGAAGAAAACAATTCATATTTTCCGACGCATTCTCCAGCAGCCAAAAGCATTACACGGGCTCCGTCCGACACCTGAGACCAACGACTACTTACCGCCGCCTCAGCTATAGACGCGGAGGACGCGCCAACCAGTGGCGACGCGCCGCCAACCTGCACCCCCACCACCGCACCGATCACCAGGAGCGCAAGAGCCGCCATCGCTGCCGTGCGTTCCTCCCGGCCCGAGCGCACGTCCACGACTGGCCTGCGACCGGGCGCGCGCCACCTAGTACTGGAGGAGCGTGAGTCACGCGGCGGACGCGCGCCGCCGCCGCCGCCACCTCTTCTCGGAACGTGCGGGTGGCGGCGCGCCGCGTCGAGATCCCGCGCGGTGCCGGCCGGTGCTCGAGGTGGCACCAGACGCAAATGCCTGTGTTGGGACGTTCTGACTAGGGGCATCACCAGGGCGGCTGGCGACCTGCTGGGTCCAAACTAGCGGCCTCGGATGATCAAGCAGCGGATGTGAGATCAAAGCGGTTGAGATGATTGCTTCGGTGCGTGATCCGCCTGTCTTTTCTCGCCCTCGCTTCATCCTGCATCCCACAGTGCCCCGTGTCTCCGGGGCAAGCCTCACGCACCAGCCCTGGGTGGGCTTAAGTGGACCCTGGCGGGGCCCTGTGCTGGTTAAGTCTCGTCAGAGGCCTTCTAGGTCCAGTGCAATATTGTCCCACCTCCATCCACTCTCTTTCATCACATAGCCCTGCTAGTGGCCACCACTGGCCGATAGCGCTCTTATCCGGGTCAAACCCAAGTGCCGGCGCTGTCACGTGGGCGGCAGGGAGCCCGTGCTGCCGGAGAGTGGACGCCTCTCTCCATTGGACTTGCTCCCGGTCATCACTTCGAAATGAGTGGGGACCAGCTTAGAACCAGGCTCAGAGCCGCCCTTTGAACTTGCATGGCTATCCTCCGTGTGTGCTGCCTGGGACTGTGGCATTGGGCTCTCCCACGCTGAATACATTTTGTGCAGAGAAGCCTTCTCGGACTGGATAATCTATGAGCACCCAGATAGTGGCCTGGTATGCAGATCGTTCAAGACGTTGCAGGTAAGGGTACGACTGTCGTAGAAAGTTCAAACATATCGGTTGGGATGTTTCAGAAAAGTATCTTAGAAATATTGGCGGTGGCAGTGTATAAATGTAACTCTACGGTAAATAGCGCTCTTGACATTAAATAAATTTAGAACTATGAGCCACATAAGCATATTTTTGACACCATGAAAATAGTGAGTCTAAACGTAAAACGTTATGGAACTCCTGCAGTCAGAAGGAACAGAGGCACTTAAAAAATATGGAGATGGTAGTCATTTTGGCTATTTCTTTCCAGATAACGCCGGTCATAAAAAGCCTACGATGTCAAAAATGAGCCAGCTCAGTTCACGATCTGTTTGATCTACCACCTCATGTTCTATAGTCTCCGGATACCTTAGCCTTACAACTAAAAACTGTTTTCTGAATTGCGCGGTATGGACCACAGCAATTTCTAACTATGGTATGCAAATAGCCACAAGTTCTCGCATTATAACGAGGACGAACAATGGCATGACGACCAAATTACGATAGCCGGAAGGTACACATGCGCACGCCCCTAACACAGACACATACGGCCGCGGCATGGTCAGTTCAGTGTGATGTTTCCTCACACCAACATGACGATACTTTTGTGGGAAAAGAGGCAATGTTCTCTAGAGATTTGAGCCACTAAAAATAATGTTTTGATTGTTTTTCACCTAACACGAGTGCAGACTTCTGTTAGAACTGCATATAGCTCAGACAGCTGTGGGACGGAAGATATACTGTTTTTTTCTTAGGACGCCTTAATGTTGCGATCCAAAGTACTGGTATAATGCGGATAGCACTATTGGCTAATGACCTGCGGGCCCATATCATAAGAAAAAAAACTTTCAGCCCAAAGCGTAAACGGTTGGCAAAAGATGCCATTTGAGTTCGTGAGGGATATCGCAACTTTGCAAGCATGTCGCAAAAGCATAACTTCCGATTGACCTATGAGTCATGACATCCACTTCAGCAGAACAATGTGGTCTTTGACGTTGGCAAAAGTCAGTGCACGTAGCGCGAATGAAAAAATCGCATTAAGCCGCAGCATAATGCCGAACCTTGCACGCTACTGCGACGAAAGCACCCCGAGAATAGTGGCTTTTTCCGTGAATGGGCATCGCTGACGTCACAACCACGACCCGTCAAGCAGGCTCGAGCGACGGCAGCCGCGCGGTGCCTGTGCCACATTACCAGCAAACGAGCCGGGAACCGGTACTGTGGCCGCAGCCAGGCCCACTCTCGGGAACCGGAAGCACGACTCAGCGGCGACCGGATGCTGCGCGGCTTACTCCACCGGTGTGAGTCATGACTCCGCCGCGGCTCCCCGCAACACGTGAGGGTGGACTGGCGAGCGGCAGTCAGACGGTCTCCGCCCCGCCCCCTCCACGGCAGGGGGCCGCGCTGGTCACCGGGCGCCGCCGGCAGCGAACCGCTCGGCGCGGCTGAGAGGCGGCCCATTAACGCTGGCATGAGGGGCGGCCCATTAACGCCATTAAACTCGGGGTCGAGCGCCGCCGAGAAGCGAGTCTGCGCGTATGTTACATAACGGGTCAATATTGCGCGGTCAGTATCGACCCGCTGTGGAGCCTACCCGTGACTGTCTCCACGTGGCAAAGAGTTCTTCACGACGTTGCTATGATAAAAAGAAAGCCATTCGCCCTGCGACTCAGCGTAAAAAAATGCTTATAAGTTTAGTCGTTCAGGAAAAGGGATAGCTCTTATATTTTGTTGTACATTTAAATGCGGTTTTTGATGGAAGTGGCCGATGAGAAGCAGTCCAGATCAGACTGTCCATATGGCTTTTATAGTTCAAAGCTCTTGAAGTCAGGCTAAAATTGCAACCATAGTTAGTCAACATGTTATTTTTCGGGAGGAAAGACACAGGCAGTATAGCCGCATGATAACGCATTGTACGAATCGTTGAACGATGTAAGCCATGTAAGCTTACTGACCTGAAACCGAAGCGAATATAATTTCTATCCCGATTGCACAATGTTTGGGGATTCGGTCATCGACCTGACTCAAATCAGTCGCGAAGATGATCGACGTAATGAAATCATGCATGACGACTGCCAGCAATAACATACTGACCTGCTTAACCCGACCCAATCATTGCAGATAGATAGACCATGTGAGGCAGCTCTGGAGCCATGAACATAGTACCTAGGTTGAAACGCACTTTAGCCAGCAGCGTGATTCAGCCGCCATTTGCAATCTTGTATTCAAATAGCATCCTCTGCGACATCGACTGTCATGTGAGACATGCAACATACCACAACATTATTCTGCACATAAACCAGTCAGGCACGTCGGAGCAACCTTTCGTAACCACTCTTACTCGCGCGTGGTTACGAGTAAGACCCCGGCATGCGTTGTGGTACTTATTTCTGGTTTGTTTGGACTGAGCTTGTCAATAATCAAACCCGAGCCGCTTGGTCCGACTTGCCATGTAATTGAATTTCAAGATTGACTCCAATAAAATCTAACGGAGCTAAATTAACCACTGGGGTTACTGTGCGTCCCCGAATCTGGTTTTACTGATGTACTCCAGTCCCGTCCACCCAAGATGATGACATTGAACTCGGTCTTGATGAGTTAAGTTCAGTTGTCAGGCAGCCTTTCTACAAACTTTTAACCCTTTTCGTTTTTTGATTGCAGACATGTTTGCAGGGTCATGTTTCTAGATCCAAAAAATACTTACAAAAACAGACATCAAAGCCAAGTGTAACACGCCTGAAAATGTGGAATAAATTTCAAAGCTTTTTCCACTGCGGTATTTCCAACCAAGTTTTGCCCTCATGCATATCTCATAGCATCCTCTCAGTGTAGAACGAAACCGCAATTGCTGCGTCATCACATATAGTGTGGCTCCGGTGGTGCTAGCAAAGTGATCAGCCTGCCACAGCATCGAACGATTTTGCAATGGAAAATCACTCATTTCGGCTTTGCACTGGCCCGGGAGTCCCCCATTCATTCATCTCTTAATTGAGCGCAGGCTTGTTCAACCCGCTCTAATCCCCACGGACTGTTCATTTTGCAACGCAATCTTATTGTTCTGCTTCTTAAAACGCCTCGTGCTGTTTCTGCCCCGGCGTGGTGCGTCACCGCTAGGAGCGGTGGCGTCGGCGCCAACCGCAGCCCGTGGACACGTGTCGACGCGGCTTCTCTGCACACTGCCGCCGGCCGCTCGGTCACTGCCCGAGCCGCGCGCTGAGTCAGACGACCGTGCCGGGCCGTGCCGGGGAATCGAGCCCGCCTGCTACCGCGCACCTCCGCTCCCAGCCCAGCTGACTCACGGTCATGTGCCCCTCCCCCCCCTCCGCGTCTGCCTCCTATCTCCACGCCCCCGGCCACGGAGATAGCAGGACGCTGTGCTATGTTGGGGTCGCCACCGAAATGCAACAGCTGCTTTCAAGAAAACGGCCGCTGTATGGGAGAGGGATTGCGCGCTTCTACATCGCAGGAAGACCACTTACACCGCAAATAGGTGAAGTCTGGTTGCACGCCCCGTGGTGTTTAACCCCATACCTGCCGTGAGCGAAACCGGTTTTGCAATGCGGATCACCCGTGGCGTGTCAAATGTTTCAGAAGTTTTTCACTCAGTTCCCAGCTGAGTCGCTGAATCACAGCTTACGAGACGACGGCTTGATAAAAGGGTCGCAATGGAAACACCGCTGCAAAATCTGGCCACGGCTGGTCTGCATCAACTGACCCTTGCCCGGAGCGACTGGGTCCAAGCTGGCCAGAACTCACCCAGACTTCCTGCGCATCCGCGGCTCAGAGAACCGACCATTTCGCCGCGTCCAGTGGCGTCACCTATTTGGTCAGACGTACGAGCGCAAATAAGGATACTTGGTGCCTGGGATAGGTCAGCTGGCCGTCCGCGTGGCCGCACTTGAAGAACGCTGACTGGTTGAACCACTCCGCACGTCCATGCTAACTGCATTCGTGCACGTCCATTACATTTTGCTGTTCATGTGTGTCACCTTTAACGCAGCGCATACTTCGAGCTGAGAGTCTGTGTGCCTTGGCACCAAAGTGAATATTCCCAGTGTTCACGCTGCCTCTCCACGACAGAAATAACAGCGCAATTGTAGTGACGCATCACATGGTTCTATTTGGCATGCAAACATGAGCCAGCTCGCCGAGCCAATCAAACCAGAACAGAAGGTTTCAAATTTAGTTAAAGCAGTGGTAGTCAAACTGTGTGCAGCAATCCATCGATGCCCCGATCCAAACCGCCCCTGGACCCGTTTGTTCAGTGCATGCAGAGAAACAGGTTCGTTCTTTTGGCATTCTCTCTGAAGCTTTTAGAGCTGCACTTTAAATAGGGGCTGTGCTTTGAAAGATATTAAGATATTCTAGATATTTTTAGAGCATGGACTCGGATGTTCTATGAGGTTGACCGCAAAATATTTTCTATTTTACAAAGCATCTGTCCGATCTAAGAACGATCCTGCGTGCCGGATGTATAACTCGGACTCGCATTTGGTGAAGAAACGTTTAGAAAGAGTGCACCATGACGCAATAAGAATACCGACGGGAACTTTCCGTAGCCATGCGCATATCGCACTGGCGAAGGCTAGAGAATTCATTTGTACATACATGAACTGCCGTCTGTACGATATGTGGCAAAACATGCATCGAGCATTTGTTCTCCACGTGTTGTCAGGCTCTTCACTTATTCCAATCAGCAGACAGAATTTCCCTTTACCACATTCGTCAACCAATTACTTGAGCGATGGTAGATCTCGGTGAGCAGTATTGTCCTAGGGCCAAAGCCAGGTTTTCCACCAAGGTAGCTTCCTGCATCCGAGTGTGCCTCCCATCGGTATGGACTGGGCACCATCCAAGAAGCATGCAACGGCGGACGAGTGCTGCGCAGGTCTTATGCTGTCCTGATACGGTGCATTGGGAGTTCCGTAAGACACATACCGATGGCCCAAAAAGTAACGCGGGTGTAGGATGTGGTCTGGTGTCAGGCGATGGCGCATTTGCTTAGGATACGTACCGATGGCTCAAAAACTAACACGGGTGTAGGATGTGCACTGGTGTCAGGCGACGGCGCATGAGCTTAGGATGCATACCGATCGCTCAAAAACTAACGCGAGTGTAGAATGTGCACTGGTGACAGGCGATGGCTCATATGTTTAGGATGCATACCGATGGCTCAAAAACTAACGCGGGTGTAAGATGTGGACTGGTGTCAGGCGATAGCGCATATGTTTAGCCTTGTCTTGTTTTGTTGCATTTAACCGCGGAGTTGTGCGTCATCTGCGAGGCTCTACGCTTTCTGCATCTGTGTGACGAGTCCAAGTATGCCATTTTCTCTGACTCTTTGAGCTCTCTGGTGACTTTACAACAAGCCAGTCAGCAGCAGGAAACCGTTAAAGTAATACTGCATTCTTCATTTACCTTGGAGCAGGATAAGAAACGCATCGTTTTCGCCTGGGCACCTGCCCACGCCCAAAAACCCGAAAACGAGCAAGCCTACTCCTTAGCCAACCAAAGGTGCCGCCGGCCCCGTTTCGCCTGAGGTGTATTGGGTGCAGGACACCTTCCCGTGAAAGCCTCTAATTGGACCACTGCAATGCGGCCAACTGCCAATGGCAGCAATGCGGCCAGTGCTGGTCGCTCGGTGAAACGCGCCGGACGTGGTGTACGAAGACTGACTAATGGACCGGATGTTGCCCAAGAACGTCCACCTCGACAACTTTGCCGGCGCCAACATCGCCCGAGCGAGGGGCTACCAGATCTCGCACCGTCCGAGCGAGCGAGAGTGTGGTGATCGCGAGATAAGAGGCTCTTCTCTCTGCATGAGTCGGGGGCAGTGTAAACCAGATGGCCTGACCGTCTAGGTTTCCACTTGTAAACATCACACGCCGTCAACGGGACTGCTTACAGAACAAATGCAAATAGACGTGCTAATTGCAAAAAATGGCCGCGCACAGATATCACTGGCTTGGTCACTTGTACTTGAGCTTGGTCATCGCGATGTGTTCCCACTTTACCTCGTAACCCGAAAAGTGTTCTTGCTTTGCCTCCCAGAAATCACCCAACCTTGAGAATGGCTAATTTCATTTTCTTCCAGTTAGAGAGGTGTGGTAGCCATAGTTTTGCAAATAGGAGCAGGCTGATGCGAAGGGGGGGGGGGGCTGTTCCCACCACAAGCCATGGTAGGAGAGGTAAAGTTGTAGTCTCATCCAAAAGAGACCCATTTTGAAGAGGCCCCATTTTGACTAGAAGGGCCCCTGAAAAATTATGTACACAACTCCCCATCCGAGGCGCCGCCCGGATGAAGGTCCATTCATTCGGGCCTAGTGACCGTCCCAGGTCACAGCGCAGGTCGAGAAGACGTCCGTCAGAGGTCAAGGCAGGTGCAGTCACATGTCGGGGTAACAGAGTGGAACACTCCCCACACGGCCGAACTTTGGCTCTCTTTTGCTCAGCCTCAAAAGCCTCATAAGTGTGAAACCAGGCTGAGATAGACACATCGACCCAGGTGCGGTAAAATGCCCTGCGCCGACTTTAGATTGAACGCCAGTCCAATGACGCTCCCACCTCAGACAAATGGAGACCAGGACCCTGACTAGCTCGGCCAGTCAACCTCTTGCATTGTGAAAGGAAGCAGACTGTCATGCCCACGCCCCGGCAAACGTCACGAGTACAGCTGCTGTGCATGAGCACGCCTTCGGCACTCAATCTCCGCCATTCGCGCCAGCCGCTGCATGGCTCCCATTGTTCGAGAGTCGTCCCATCGTCGCGTCCGGGCTGGGGTGTATGACGCGCGCTCACAAGCACCACCGTCCGAGTGGACTTCAGACGAGAATGCGTTCGAACGATGCGTGAAAGGGCGGGCGAATCCAAAATGTGCACACGTCCCGCCTCCTTGCAGCTGCGGGACACATGGCTTGACATTTTTATATTGACGGTTCCGAGCTGGTTTTGCGGAGCGCCTAAACTTGCACTCTGAAGGGGACTGAACGCCACGAGGAAGTTCTCAAGACTGAATCATTCCTTAAACGAACAGGATATTCTTATCATCTTGCACATGCGTAAGAGCGGCCTGAACAGAGTATAGCGAACTGTGCTTAGACGCGGTGGAAACGAAACGATCAGCGGAGGAAGAGGCCCGTGATCCCGGCCTTGTTCACCGTACGGAGTGTGTTAAGACTGTCCAAACAGTCCATGGAATACGCATGATCCTTCCAGCCAACAAAAACTGTTCATGAAATCTCAAATTGTTGGCTCACCCGGAACTGTTGCAAGCTCCAGCTTCTAGAACGCCTTAGGATACATTTTGGTCGCATTATCGATATTCACATTGGACAAATAGGCTTGAAGGCTTCAAAGAGTATCCCTGATCAAAATATGATAAAGGACCATCCATTTGGGGAACAAGCACACTTCGGTGATCTGATGTGGTCTCAATAAGTCACCTTTGTCATGCTTCCGGGAGATGCAGCCAACCGTTCTGTTTGATGGCGTCTTTGTGGAGGCATGGGGTCAAAATTCTGAGGTAAATGTCGCCGAAATAAAACCATTCATTACTTCTCTTCTTCCCTTGATCTTTATTTTCAGTCAGAAACCAAACATTCACATACAGTAACAACGCGATTTTATAAAACGTGGGCTTCTGTCATCTATTCCTTTTCCTTTAAGGTCATGATAACCAACGGCTCACGATGATGGATCTCGATGCGTTGGTAAGAGCAAAACGTGAGCCCCAACACTTGTATTTGTCGCAGGGTGTTGTTTGATGTCCGCAATCATAATCAGGTCAGTGGAACTTTATCGGGTGTTCCTCAACCTGAACTTTGGAACATCCAGCGGACCAGCCAGTTCTTGATTGGATGGCATTTCTGATGCCAAGAATGTTATACATTACGCCCATCTACAATGTCCGTTGCATGTCGCAAGGAGCCGCACTCCTTCCCAACATTTGCCTCAGCCTCTTCCAAAACGCACGCAACATCTCGCCGAACACTTTCGCACACCTACGCTAGAGCACGGTAGATAGCGTCCACGTCAAACTCAAAACCGTATAGGTCCAAGTCTGCAGCATAGTGCTGCTTGAGGCGCACCATGAGCGGGACGGGCAAGGTCGGCACGAGTCGCACCGCTTCGCTCAGCGCCTGGTCGTAGCTGGCACGGGTCGGCGGGTCCCACTGCCCGCTGCTCCACCCGATCTCGTCCAGCAGGTGCGGCAGCTCGACGTCGAGCTCGCCAGCGTGCAGCACGAAGTCGTAGTGGGTGGCGCAGAAGTGGCAGACGTCGACAGCGGGGCGCAGAAGATGGGCGGTGGGACCAGCAGCGGCGTCCAGCGCCAGCTCCGCCACGGCCCGCAGGGAGACCGGGCCGGGCGGCAGCAGCCGAGCCAGCGGCGCCCACCTACAGACAGGGCCTCTGCATGTCAGCGACGCCCATCTACAGACAGGGCCTCCACAAATCAGCGGCGCCCACCTACAGACAGGGCCTCTGCATGTCAGCGGCGCCCACCTACAGACAGGGCCTCCGAACCAGGCCTCCACATGTTAGCGGCGCCTACCTACAGACAGGGCCTCCACAAATCAGCGGCGCCCACCTACAGACAGGGCCTCTGCATGTCAGCGGCGCCTACCTACAGACAGGGCCTCCACAAATCAGCGGCGCCCACCTGCAGACAGGGTCTCTGCATGTCAGCGGCACCTACCTACAGACAGGGCCCTCACAAATTAGCGGCGCACACCTACAGACAGGGCCTTCGAACAAGGCCTTCACATGTCAGCGGCGCCTACCTACAGACAGGGCTTCCATACGTCAGCGGCGCCCGCCGGCCGGCAGCGCTGTTGCTCGACGGCAGGGCCATCCCCGTGAGCGCAGGACCATCAACTCAACCATCCCTGAATATGTCGGCGGATATTTTTCGACAATTACGGCGCCTTCGATACCATGTGGCGTCACGCCATACTGCCTGCATGGCCACATGGGCTGGGTATTAGCAAACTACCCCTTTGACCGCTCTGTTTAAAGCTCGATTGGCAAGCATATGTTGCGTGGGAGTTCGCACAGTGAGTGTGAGCGGATGGGAAACACAATACAAGCGTTCCGTCCTAGGCGTGGCATTGTGTGCAATGAAGGGCAATGATATAGGGGATGCGTAGCTGGCGCGCGATGAGCGCACGTCATTTGGGGATGATTTTGCTACATGGGTTACAAGTTATGACATCCACTTTGATACCAGTATTGCATTAAATCTGTAGATTTTGTTTAACCGACATTAAAAATGATGCGCATACACGGCTGCAGTAAAGCAAAACCCCACAGGGACCCATTACTCGAAATGTATTGTAAGACTGTATGGATAAGTAATCAAGTCCAGTTCCCACGGATATTCCTAGACAATCTTCCATCTTATCCGGAGCTTTAAAATTACCTTCGAACCAGATGTTTTAAAGACCAAGACGAGCACATGGTGGTATCTCATGCAGTGTGTGGGGGAAGTTTGCTACCTCGTCCAATCTTCTATGAAAATGGGGAAAACATTGCTGAACAGCTCTTGAAAAAACTCATCATATGGGTGCTAGCTGACATTGACGGGTGTGTCCTGTGGCATGTCACATCAGGTGGAAGGTGTGGGAGTTATTGGTGCGCTGGTTCGTCTGGCTAAATAAGACTATGCAAGCAACGCCACTGGAGAGAACAGCGTTTGCCGGGCCTCCCAAAACTTCTAATAAGCGCCATTAAGGACTACATTTTAGGACCTTTTTAAGTTCAAGCCTGGTGGCGAGTGTGAAAGCTTGACCTTCGATGGTTTGACCTTGCAAAATTGGCCAGAACAATGGTAATGCGCTTCTGTGTGATGGAGCTCGGAAAAGAATAGCTCAGAGGACCTCTTTTGGGTAAATTTTCTGCGAGAAATAAGCATGATTTGGCACAATGGAGAAAGTATCACCGACATCAGCTCGAGAAGGAGAGTATAGGTCACGAACCGTCAATGCGCAAAATCAATTTGTAATATGCGTGGAAGCTATGCAAGCTCATCCAGCAAAAATGTCAGCACCGTGCTCAAAACCATGGGAACTTTTTCCAGAAAATCTAACGGGATGGGCTCTGAGGACAGGCTTGGATTAAATTTAATGCACAGGTCCCGCCACGACGCCCTTTCGAACGTGATTTTCCGTTTGTCATTGCGCGGTCTACATGTGACTGGTACGTCATGGGTCTTCCCCGTCAGTGACACCAGTGAGCTTTTGGCCTGCATGCGTCAATGTGCTATCAGCTGCAGCCGGAAACACGGAAATATCCGTCGGATGCAACGGCGTAATACGTGAATCGGTCCGGAAGACGCGGGACAGCAGACAGTAGTGAGCCTGTTGACGCCGGCATGAGTTTTAGCAAATGTTAACTAGGATTTCTGTAGCGCGGCAATTGAAACGGTACTCATTTTAACGCGAGTGCACTGCGATGGACTGCAGTAGGCTGTGAAAAGCTGAGGCTCTTTTTAGAGTTGTGTGGTGTGAAAGAGCCGTTAGCGTCCACGGCTCGACGGGATCGTGCGTAGTCCAGGCTGGCAGGCGTAAATGCGCTCGAGGCTGGCCCTTGTGAAGACGGAGTGCACATTAGCGAGGTGACGAAACCCACCCTACGCTCGTCTGGCGCAGATTGGTGTAGATTCTGATGAGCATGACCAGAGGGTGCTCCACAATGTTCCACGACAAGACCGACGAATTGCTGTTGGCCATGGAGAGAAAGACGCCCTCTTCGATCCGTATCTCTGAATAAAGAAAACAGAAATGACAATTAATATAAAGACGGATACGAACGAAAAAACTTGGCAGGTTTTATCCGGCCAAAGAGCCCAGACATACCCAAATGACAAACGTGGGTGAGGCTTAATAGATTCTGCTCCAGAAAGCTGCTCGAGCGAGTCCATGGCACTGGTCCAGGCTGGCGTCAGCTAAGGAGATGTCCCAGGACACTGAGCTGTCACGCCGTGCAACGAGCTGATGGTGGGGGAAGGTTTTACAGGGGAAATCTCCCAGCAACAGGCAGCGCTCAGACTTCTGCTCGCCGGTCAGCCGAATCGGGTCAGCAGGTTAGATCAGCAGGTCAGCAAGCCAGCGAACCAGATCAGCAAGTCAGATCAGCAGGTCAGCATGTCAGCGGACCAGATCAGCGAGTCAGATCAGCAGGTCAGCAGGTCAGCCGGATCGGGTCAGTAGGTTAGATCAGATGAAAAATGACGATTGTGTGTACTAAAGCCGCACCAAGGGGAGGTTAGAGCGCTTGCAAATATCAGTCACATTAAAACAAAAGGGCTGTGAGATATTTAGCACTACTATGAACCGTTGCGTTAAGCATCTGTTCGGCCTCACAGCATGCTCAACGGCCAAACAGTCAAATTTGAACCAAAAACATCGGAAGACAAAGGTAAAAGAGTGTAGAAAATTAGGTAGTAGGGAGCCTGTTTTTGAGCTCACGCCCCCCCCCCCCCCCCTCTCCCCCTTCCCCTCTTCTCATGTATAGGCATAGGGCTGAAACGCTATCTTGTCGCCATGTAAAGAGGCTTTAGAGGGTAATGATCTGACGATTCAATGAGTATTTTGGGTCTTACGCAATAAACGTGTTGCCATAAAAAACAGACTGCCAAACCTGACTTCTCTGTCAAGTAAAATCTCGGAAAAACTGTCACCGAAGCCATGAACCGAACGTCAAGCGCATGCCTCGAAAACCAGGGGTAGATGGCGCCACATGTCGGCCGCTATCTTTATGCAAGATCCCACGGCCCAGAGAGCCCGAGAGTGGCGTCAGGCGAACCTTTCCGGGTTCTGGAACAAGGCGATATGTCCACGCAGCTTTTCTGACCTAAACCCCATCGAAAACACGCGCGGCATTCCAAAGGTGCGTTCCAGCGAGATGGACCTCACAAGGGCATCTCGGAGCTGAAGGCAGTGCTGCAGAGGAAGTGGGCAACGAATTCGTCCTTCAAGCTGTGCAAGCTGGTAACTGCATGGAAATAGGATTTCCAAATGGTCAGAATTGCAGGAAAAGGACGTCGGCTTGGGAACAGAAAATGGCTTACAATGCAAGGGATGAAATAGGCCAAAAGCGTGTTGAAAAGGGCGTCAAAGCCTACGTTTCCACGACCAACGATAGAGAGACCGGGCTGCCATCCACCATCCGACTACCATTGCCGCTGTTTTCCTCAGCCAGGTGCTGCAGGCTGTCGGCAATCTCTGTGGTGACCGTGGCTGGGTGACCGCACCAATGCAACCGGGACTGCGACCTGCTCCATGTAGCCGTCTGGCCAGGCCACCTGGAATACATAGGGCGGCCACCTAAGAGGCAGGGTCATCTGTCATGTACGATAGTGGGTCGAGCCCTGATGCTGCGCATCACTGGTGATGATGGTGGCGATTGGCATGATAGACGGCCTATGTTGATAGTGGTACCAAGCACTGATAATGATAAAAAGTCCGCTCGCAGGCGTTCATCCCACGCATGGGTTATTTCCGCTCACATGCGGGCACCCATGCGACATATTCTGGCACGCAAGTCAGCCATGTGTGTAGCCGTTACAAACCAGAAAAAAACGCTAGTTTCGGGAAGGTTTCCATGCAGCAGATCTCGGTCACCTGGCCGCAGCCGTAACGTCTGACGTCGGTGACCTGGCCAAGCGACGCTGTCTGACGCTGGTGACCTGATCGTGGGGCGCTAACGCCTGACGCTGGTGACCTAGCCGCGCGGCGCTGTCTGACGCTGGTGACCTAGCCGCGCGGCGCTGTCTGACGCGGCGCTGTCTGACGCCGGTGACCTAGCCGCGCGGCGCCGTCTGACGCCGGTGACCTAGCCGCGCGCGCCGTCTGACGCCGGTGACCTAGCCGCGCGGCGCGTCTGACGGTGTGTCACGCGGGCCGTGACGCTGGTGACCTAGCCGCGCGGCGCTGTCTGACGCTGGTGACCTAGCCGCGCGGCGCTGTCTGACGCCGGTATCCGGCTGCTTGGCGCCGTCTGACGCCGGTGACCTGGCCACGCGGCACTAATGTCTTACCGGCGTGGGGCGGCATGCTCGTCTGGCTGCCGCTCGCTGCAGTACTGCCGCGCCGCCAGCACGCAGGCGTCGAGCGCCTCCCGCGGGGTGAGCTGCATCCGGCCAGAGGGCGCGAAAGCTGGTCTCAGCAGCGAACGCCTGCAAAACGTAGATGGCGCTAACGGTCACTGCGATGGCGTTCTCACACGCACGCGCACACGTACACGCACACGCACACGGACACGGACACGGACACGCACACGCACGCACACATGCGTGTGTGTGTGTGTGTGTGTGTGTGTGTGTGTGTGTGTGTGTGTGTGTGTGTGTGTGTGTGTGTGTGTGTGTGTGTGTGTGTGTGTGTGTGTGTGTGTGTGTGTGTGTGTGTGTGTGTGTGTGTGTGTGTGTGTGTGTGCGTGTGTGTGTGTGTGTGCGTGTGTGTGTGTACATCACCACTGCGCCTAGTAACATCGATGCAAATTCCATCATCTTACATAAGCATCTTGCATAATACTTCAGATTCACTGTAGGGGCACGAGCACATGTCTAACAAGAGGAGCCACCTGTGATGCTGTTAGCGCCCTTGCGATTTTACTAACTCTATCGCAGCGCACTCACATGCGTTCGAGAGAGGCATGGGTTCGCGCATTACGTCGCGATGCGACCAAGAAGACCAGGAGAGCAGTCAAGCACAGCAGCACAGCAGTACGCTTGCGGTTGCATCGCCACGTGGTCATTGGAGCCCTGAAACGGGCGCGTCCTGCATCACCTGGTCTGGTGATGGACTCGGCGCTCGTAAAGACCTGCAACGGTGCCGCGCATGCACGCCCGCAAAGTTACTGCGAGTGTTAAACGTGGGCAGTACCGGTTGTCGAATGGGTGACTTGCCATCTACAGTAAACATTTGAACAGCACATGGGTTTTTTATTCATGAAATTTGTTTTAGAGTTGCAAGATTGTAGCACTGAGTCACTTTACCCAACAAGGCCAAACGGCACGAGTTCGTTTGTCACAAAAGTTCGTCTCACGTGATACACTCTATTTTCTACGTGACGTGTAGGCCAGCCTTCCCCGTCACTGACGTCACCGGCCGTCCTCCCCGTCCTAGACGCACCGGCCGTTCCTCCCCCCCCCCCCCCCGGCGCTGACGTCCGGCCGTACCTCCCCGTCACTAGACGTCCCGGGGGCTGTTCTCCCCCCCCCCCCCCGGCCATGACGCCCGGCCCCGTCCCTCCCCGTCACTGACGTCCCCGGTGTTGCTCCCCGTCACCGACCGACCCGTCCTCTCTCACCGGCTCCTGAAGTCCCGGCCGTCCTTCCCCGGTCACTGATGTCTCAGCGATCCCCACCGGCACCTGACGTCCCAGCCATCCCTCACCGGCTCCTGACGTCCTGGTCATCCCTCCTCAGCGCCTGACGTCCCGGCCATCCCTCACCGGCTCCTGATATACAGGCCATCCCTCACCGGCACCCGAGCCCCGGCCATCCCTCCCTGACACCTGACGTCGGGCTGTCGCCAGCTCAGCGCACTCACCTGAAGCCCCGCTGTGAGCAGCGCCGCCGCCCTCAGTGTGGCGGCCGCCGCTGCCGCTGCTGCTGGCCCGACTGGCAAGCACGCCGCGCAGACGCCAGCCATTACGGGGCCAGCGACCTCTTGCAACGCCTGCTGGCTGAACGGTGGGTCTCCGTGACGCACCGCTCCACCGCTCACTGCGCTGCAGTTAATGCCGCGTCATTGGTGCAGTGTACAGAGTGGGAAGACTATGGGAGTGGACCCTTTCACCTAACCGGCGCCTGGCTGCGGGTGCTGCGTACCGACATTTGTTTGCTCTGTACCGGCGGAGAGCTTTGTCCTGACCCACGCTGCGCTGACGTCGTCCCTGCCGCGCAGTAATGGCTCAAGGCCAGTCGCAAAGAAAGCGCCGAAAAATATCGGGCAAATTCGCAACTGGTAGCACCTTTACTGCACCTGTAAATGGGACGGCGGTCGTCCTGGCTTTACAAATATGTTATGTAATGAACCGTGTCAGCGACGCACAGCAGACGAGGGATCTCCGCACGCTTTTCTGGGCGCAGGCAGCCGGGTAGGGGCGAACCATTCGCAAGCTGTATAACAATTGGTGGGGACGTGCAGACCCGGCGGCGGCATGTCGAATACATACTGGGTGAGCGACCCAGCCAGTCACGACCACGGCCATGAGCCGTCCATAAGCTGGCTCGTTGCAAGTAACTGCTTCACAAGTGCAGAAACTGGGCGGCTTATCAGTTGCTGCACGATATCCACGTCCAATTTGCCTGGGCTGGTGATAGTCGCCGATTGAAAGTCGATGAAATGGAGTGTTCCCCTCCATATCTATATCGGGTTTTGAACTGAAATAGCCATCTAACCATCTTGAAGATCATTCGGTTCAGTACACAGCCCCGTCTTAAAGATCCAAGCCCCTCTAGTTTTTTAGCTAGATGACCGCAAAGACGTGCGGGCTATGTCGAGGGACTACTTCAAGATCACTCAGGCATCCATGACGCCATAATAACGTCATTCAAATTCTGTGTTTCCATTAGCCATGCTTTGAACGAGGCCAAGACAAAATATTTGTCCGGTCTTTCACATCTGACGTTCATGAGCGCCATTTCCAGGCAAAACGGAAGTCAATTGGCTAGCAATCAATGTTGTGCACGATACGATGGCGTAATAGAACAATGACGTGTTGAGGAGCATATATACTTGACATATAAATTGTCTGTCTGGAGCAGTTTTTTCCGCCTAAAAGTCTACAAATACTGATAAGTGGGCCTGGCTAATCATGTCTGATGTTGGCTACAATATCTACAAACGTGAGGCATTTCCTTTAAGGCGGCTAAAAAATTAGTCGAGATGGACACCAAAAAAAGTCAATAATCGTGTTCGGCGCGGAGGTACCTAGCATGCACATGGACTTAAGTTCTGTTTCAGATATTGCATGCCCTAGGCTCAATCGTACTTACGAAAGCCGAGTTAATGGAACTTCCGCATCGAACTTCCGAAAGCGCGTAACACCGAACGATCTCGCAGTTAAGACAGTAGTATTAGCCTTATTCTTCGGAAAAACCAGGAGAGTGGCGATGTAGTTTGGTTGATACTTCGGCAACATGCTTTATCGGAACAAGAGCAGAAGGGACGAAAACTTTTGCTGGGACTTCTGAAGACCTCTGCTTTTGTTTCGATAAAGGCATGTTGCCGAAATACCAACCAAACTATATCTCTGTTCTGGTTTTTCCGAGGAACAGGGCTAATACCATTGTCCTATCTATGTGAATAATGTTCCCCGCTAATGCACTGAACAACTTACGAACGATCTCGACTGAAAGCCTATCTGTTCCCATCACTGGTGTGCATACGCCGCATAGATCTTAGGACCCGGCCTCGCCACCAGCAGACACCTCTGCATCTTGCGTCTGAGCTGCGTAAGGCTGTTATTTATGAAGAGCTCATACTCGCTTTTAAGCTCTCGGGGCCTCCATATGAGGTGTTCGTGCCCACCTCCGCGGTCGGAGCCCAGAAACCGTTCGCTCTCACGCTCAGTTGCTTCCGGCACACGGCGCATGCGGTCGATGTGCTCGGGAGCTATGTTTGACGTCATAATGACGCCACGGACGCGGCTGGGGAGCGCATTTGTGGTGAGGCCAGTGGTGTTGCTCTGCACTGTAGCTCTGGCTGGCTGGGCGCCGTCAAGCAGCTTGCAGCCTAACCAACACACTCTTCATCTTACGATTGAAGTCTGGGCTGTACAGCTCAGGTTATGTGGCGTGAAATCCATGGCACGTTGCGGTCGTTACGCCTTTAACACATTCCCTCGCTCTGTCTGTGTGTAAAATATTGTCAGTGGGCATCATTTTTGTGCGTTGATCGTCCCCATAGGTCCAATGCTGAATTTTTATAAAGCCGGAGGTTTGTGTTCCTCCTCGCCCAGTCCCCCCAGTTTCAGCATTTTAGGAAGACCTAAAAAATTATCATCACCAGTGTGGGATCGCGACCATCATCCCAAAGCTATACGGTAAATAAGTCTTCAGCATAAACAAAGCAATTTACACACACACACACACACACACACACACACACACACACACACACACACACACACACACCACACACACACACACACACACACACACACACACACACACACACACACACACACACACACACCCACACACAACACACACACACACACACACACACACACACACACACACACACACACACACACACACACACACAACACACACACACACACCACACACACACACACACACACACACAACACACACAGACACACACACACACACACACCACACACACACACACACACACACACACACACACACACATCACACACACACACACATCACACACACACACACACATCACACACACACATCAACACACACACACACACACACACACACACACACACACCTACAACCCACACCACACATCACACACAAACACACACCACACTACTACACACACACACACACACACACACACACACACACACACCACACACACACACACACCACACACACACACACACACACACACAACACACAACACACACACACACACACACACACACACACACACACACCACAGCACACACACACACACACACACACACACACACACACACACACACACACACACACGTGGCCCATTCGTAACATAAAATTGAAATATTTGGAACAAATTTTGTGTTGATTCTACATAAATGTTTAACGTATGGTTACGACCTGAAAATTACAAAAATAGTATGCTGTGTTAGGTGACCCATATTGATCGCATGAATGAGGTGAATTATTCTTATCAGTGCAGTGTCTTTCTGTACGCATATGACCTGCAATTATGTATGCATGTGGAACGCACTCTGACTGTCAAAACTAATGTATGCATTCGCACAGTAGATACTTTTACATAGCACATATATATGTATATATATATATATATATATATATATATATAAACATGCCTATATATGAGCTGTCGGAAGTGGAGCGGTCCAGAAATTGGAAGATGCCAGACCGATTTTGAAGTCGATTTTTCCCAAGCGTCGTGACAGCGTTCATACTCAGTATTCCTGGGCAGTGGAAGTGGTGTAGCGCTCCCTAACCCCTGATGGTACACTTATACCATGAATCAATAACCTGAGCTCAGGTCGCTGAAAAAAAGCACATATAGATATCCAGCAGGGGTGTCATTTTGTGTAGCTATTGGACGTGGAATATGCATTCGACAACGCTCCATGTATACATTGTCGGATGAGCCTTACCATCCTATCGTTATTGTCTGTTGCAGGGAAGAATCGGAATTCAGAATTATTCTCAATCGGAAGCAACCGTAAAAAGACGTCACGTGGACATGCAGCTTCGCTTCATACCCCTTGTGACACTATTGTCTAAATTCCCCAGTATGGTGGCATGCCATGATCATTAGGCTTACTTCTTTTGCTTGATGCCGGCTTCAAAGCATCAAGTCTAGATTAACAGTTGCAATTTTTGCTGTCAAGATGTCGATGCCCGATTATATACACGAAATATTTAACGAAGACACTTATGCTTACTGGATAATATTGACTATTGTTCTGATATGTGGATGCTTTCCCACGTTTGGAGCCGACTCTGTGATGTTTGTGGTCTCCTCTGTCACAGAAATTGGCAAATCCATTTTCAACACTTTCATAAGGGGCTGTCTCAATATCTTGAAGCTTTTAGTCCTGACTCTTTCATTAGTTCTGTTTATGTTTGATTTCTCCCAAGTGCAGAGCAAGATCGATCTCTGGAAGGAAGCATATACATTTCATGACGTGTCGGAAGAGCCTGTTACTCTATCTGGTAGTGTCGGGCGACGATTTTCACGAGCGATGTCAATCGTTCCTCACACCGTTTCCAAGACGCGGTAATTGGGCCAGGAACATTTCCGTACCATTTGGGAGGAACCATTGGTGCACCATCTGATGAAGGTGAGAGCATGTGTTGCGACAAAACTGATCGCTGGGCAAAAGCAGTTATAAGTTATCGTTTCTCAAAATACGTAAATGTGTAAAAAGGTTGCTGAAGTGCGTAAAATTGCGTGAAACTTGCAGAATACATACTGATTTAGTGCGCACTGAGGCTAAGTGATAGCTGGTGGCTTTTTGCGTAATATGCTTTGCAAAGGTACCTACGTTCTGCCCAAAAACCGAAACCAGAATTGAAGGGCCAATATTCGTGCAGCAGAGCTCTTTATCTAAATATGCTCAAAGCTCTAAATTAAAGCTTTCGCAGCTTTAAGGCTTAGTCGGTCTTATCACGCAAACCAAAGGATGGTTCAGCTACGTCAAATGTCGGCACCTCTATGCCGTAGGCAATCGGAACGGGATAAGTTCACCTTTATTGACGCTAACTTTGACCTCAAATGGCATCGTCATCACCGTGTGCCTGTTGACAAAGGTCGCCTTTGGAATTCCTTTAACACACTTTATTTGTACGCCGTGCTCTTCTGCATCCGTGTTGTAAATCAAACATCTTATTCCACGCAATTCACCTAGCATCTCATTTGCGCAGTTTTCGATACGCTGCACGTACAGAATGCAATTTGTCAATATATTGTTATGAATGCAATCGTGCAGCCTTTGGGAAGGATGAACAATCAAAACTACGCCCAAGCGCGGCGTTTCGGGGAAAAGTGGTGAACTACATCCTTTTGCGAGTTTGGACTCTAGTGACCAGAAGATTAGACATGGAAAGCGTGTCGTTTTTTGGACCGATGTGAGGCGTTTCATCAACACACCGAGTTGTCTCAAATCGGAGAACTCCAACTTGGGCAACAGACCCGGATGCAGCCGGCAGGATGGTACGCGGTGCGGATCGGTAATAAGGGGCGCACCTGCCAGATACCTCGCAGGCCTGATGCCCAGCAGCGAGTGTCGGTTCGCTCACGTGCAGGCTCTCAATTAAGTCCGGCGCTGGTCTGGGTTGCATCAGGTGAGGTGTGTGGACAGGCTGAGTTATAACGGGTCAGGAAGGGTCAAGTCGGGTTGGGTGGACAGGGCTGAGCTGTAACGCTGAGAACCTGTGCCAGTCGAAATAAATGTGGCTAGGTAATAGCTTGCTTGCCCTTCGCGGGCATTTCCGTTCACTCCACGAGAGGGCTCAGAGGTCCCATATACTTATGAAGCTAGGAAATCTAGAGCTACGCAGAAAACTACGCTGCAGATTTAGTGTCCAGCTGTATGAGGTAGGGATGCCCGAACAACGGTGAGTGTGACCTTTCAGTTCAAATCAGGAAAAAGGGCCAAGAGAAACACTTTATTGTACCCCTCCTGTTATCTCAAGAGCTAAGCAGCAGTGCGGACTGCAACAATGAACGACTCCTGGAAAGCTATCAGATAGCCTCCAGTGGACATGGACAAATGTGATGTATGTTTCATGTAAGACCAAAGGAGATAGGGCTCTGCTGCATTTGCCCGTCCACCCAAATCAATAACTAAACAAGCCATATGAATGGAGGAACACTGTTAGGAAGCCTTTCCAAATCCGTGAGAAAAATGATCACTAAGGCTTCACTCGCACCTTCAACCGGCCAAATCTGGTCACAAAGATCGACCACCTTGATCGACAGTCTTTAACCTAGGCTTACGTGGGATGACCTGACCTTTCAGAAGCAGCCAAAACGATAGCAACACACTTGAGAGTGGCATTGGTGCGAGAGGAGTCTAGAAAATCTTTGGAGTGTATCTCCTGCGGGCATAGGCGTTATTTGTCACTTTAGAGCAAACCACCACCATTACGACCACGAGAAAGAGATCACAGATCACGAACCTTCGGGGCCAGTAAGTTAAAATGTGTAAGATATAAGAAACTGATGTAAACTATGGTACCCAACATTTCGGCGCGGTGCTCAAAATTGTTGAGAAGTTGCGGGGAAAAGCCTCACTGAGGGTTCTGAGGACCTCTTATTGGGACATCCGGATGAAATGCTAAACGCAAACATTGGAATGCAAGTGCGGAGTAGACACATGTGTAATAAGACCGATGATGCCTAGAATACGCATTGCGAATGATGCAACTGACATTGACCATCAGCACAAAACCAAACATCCATCGTTTCGCGCTAGAAAAACTGGCTCTGAACAAAAGCTGATGATCTAAAGAAAAGATCTCTAAATGTCTAATGCATAAAATGTCTAAATGTCTAAAATGTCTGAATGTCTAAAATGTCTGAATGTCTAAAATGTCTGAATGCATAAATGAATAAAATGTCCAAATGTCTAAAACGTCTAAAAAGACAATCGCGCGTGTATATATTTACTCAATTATATTTTTTAAATAGCACATAACTACATGAAAGCGCTCAGCAATTGCCAGGGTTTGCCATTGCTTATATCGTCTGAAACATAGGGTCTATTTCATAAGGCATTGACCTCACTTTGTGGACACCCGAAGAACCAGAAAACCACATCAGTGCGTTTTTGCTCTGCTCATATATATATATATATATATATATATATATATATATATATATATATATATATATATATATACATATATATATACATATATATATATGTATATATATATATATACATATATATATATATATATGTATATATATATATGTGTATATATATACATGCGTACAAATATATGTTGTTCACATTTATACACTTAAATCCACTTATGTATATTCAAATGGCGTCTCCCAACCGCCATGAGTGGAGATCAGCCCAGCCCGTTATGGCTGCATCAGGCGCAACACAGTCTGTGTACAGTAAATGTTTTCGTGTCAGCAATGATGTTAACATGTCGGTTGCTTTTCAACACATGTGATGCATGATCGGTGTCGTCCCAGTTTGCCGCCATGCACTGATAATAAAGCACGGCCGAAAGGCAGCATTGCAGCAGAACCGGGGATTTGGGGCTTACGGTTTTTGGTCCTAGAAGTAGTGGGATATTTTGTTCCCTAGGGGTGCCTCGGTGACGTGGTCTGTCTGCGCCCTCTCGATGAGGGTCATTTTGTCTTATCCGTGTACACATTGTAAAGCCCATAGTGCCCACCTCATGTGCACAACAATAATAAGATTTCCACTTCAGGGCTCTACACTGCCATGGTCAACCGTTGAGGACTATAGAGGCGATGCCAGCTCAAAAACGGAGGTATGTACATCCTGAGTGGGTTACTGAACAAAAATCTGAGATATTGCTTGGTGGTCTAAGCTAGCCCCGCATCTCGGTGTCAGTGTCAGCACGACACGAGCGCATGCTTCGCGTCATCAGCTGCTGATCATATCTGGCACGTTGAAAAAAATGCTCTTGTCAGGCAACTCAGAAGGTGTGGCATATGTGTCCCAATCAAAGACAGCAGCATACAGCCTCTTTGAACTGGCTTCTATGTTGCGGAGGTTTCCATTCACCGTCATGTGGCTTGCTTTTTGGAGGAGTCGCTCGTACACTCTTGGAGGCCCCAGACTTCCGAACGTTAAATTGAGCTCTCAGTGCTACTCCACGCTTTTCCCGACGTTTCTAATGGAAATGCTGCTGTTCTCTCACGAGCTTATTAACAAAAAAACTGGTCCTGCGGGGGCATCGGCCTCGGTCGGTGTGAAGGGCAGCGGTTCTTTGGGTCCCAGCTATCGTGACCGATGGGCGGCTTGCGCAGCCCATTTCAAGGAATAGCAACCCTGTCGGCACGTCAGCTCCAACTCCTTGTCTCGCCCGCTCGTTCCCAGTCACCTGCATGCCCACATGCAGCCCTCTCACCGCGCCTCATGCCCGTTTTATCGGGTTTGCTGTGTCCCGTCTCCCGTGCCCCGGTCGATTGGATTCTGGTGGATGAGCCGTGTGAAGCGAGAGGCGTCACCAGTCCCCGGTGTGGCGCCGGGGGAGCTATGGCGCTAACCGCCTCCCGAAGGAATGTTGGATCATCCCAAGTTCGCCCCTAGGCGTGTAGGGAGCCTCGTTTCTGAAATAAAACCGCGCTGCGTGGCATCTTCCGACTAGAAAATGCTCCCGTCCCCCGAAAATGGGTCCGACCTCGTTGACTCCAGGGCCCTTGCCCCGAGGGGAGCAGAGATAGTGCCCACCAACAACATCATGCTCACGTTTGTTTGCCCGGACTCTGGAATGCGTGTGGGCTGCGCTTACGTCAAGGTTCGCCTTTTGTGCCCATCCGGTGCGGAGCTGCCAACATTCACGATTTGAACACACTAATGCCCAATACCACAACCGCCCAGTCTGCCGTCCAAAGGTAAAACCCCATATGTTCACTTCTGCCCATTTTGCGTATTTATGTCATCTGATTCGTCTATTCATGCTGCATTCTGACATTTAAACTATCAGTTGAGATTTGCACAACTGCTTAGCGAAAAGAAAGGGCTAAAAGTTGGTGAAATTGTCAACTGATCGCTTAAATAACCGAATTCAGCATGAGTGGACGAATCAGATGACATAAACAACGCAAACTAGCCAAACAATAGCATATGGGTTTTACCTTTGGACGGCAGCAGTGTGCAGTAAGTGTGCGTCTCATGAGCACACCATTGATGACTGCAGCGCTGATCTACGTCAACTGTGGTGAGGGCAGGATATCACACGTGACGTGTTATCACACATATCCAGCCTACGCCAAGGAAAAGGAAATTATATCGATTAAAACCTCGGAAACATTTTTCGGTGAGGTTCGAGAGTTTAACGACCAAGCCCCCTCCCCTCCACCCCCTTTCGTAAGCTTCAAAAGTAAAGACAGTGTTACGAAGCGGGAGCACGGCCATACAGATGACCGCCGTTCAGTGTGTCGCATTCCTTGAGGCATTCTTTTTTGTTTGATTGTGACGCGGAGCCAAACGCTAGGTTCCCAACGTGCACCGCGGCTTCCTGTCGTCGGTTGGCCGACTGGAGACCGCTGTGCCACTCACCCCCGCGGCGCCGTCGTCTGGCAGCGGCGGTTAACGGTTGGTGATCGTTGGACGGTGGTTCGGCGCGGCCACGGCCCCAGGTGCCGTCGTCTGTCGTCGTCGTCCTTCTTGGTTCCGATGATAAGCCGCAGTGCCTGCCATGTGCGGCTGGAGCCGGCTCCTTTGAGGTTGCGTTGAAGGTGTTCACGGCGGTCCCGACGTATCGCAACGCGGCTATCTCGGTCCAGCTGACGGTACAGGGCCTGCTCAGTCGGCCCGGACGCCAGAACGGCGCGCCGGCCGGCCAGCAGCTGGCGGATTTCCCTGCACAGCGGTAGGGCACCGAGCGCACACAGCATCACGCGCCTCACAGGGGCCACCTCGTCCAGAATAGAGATGAAAGCTTGTGCTAATGCGTCCCACTTCTCTGTCGGGTCGCCAACAGCGAAAACAGAGTTCAGTCCGCGTTAGCAAGCGTCTTGTTAAAGCTGTTGACGTTTTCTCGGTTGAGACAGCGCGTCTGGGCGGCTCCGCAGCGCTGGGACGACGGACCACTTTGTCGCGGCAGCCCACGCGAAAACTCATACGGCCCGCCGTAGCGGCACCGCGTCCCGCCGCTCCTCGCCACGAGCTGCATTCTGTTGGTGATGATCGCGTCAAGCAGAGTAGCGGCCGGCTAGTAGTCGAGATGAGAGTAATGCAGATGCGCTATCCGCACGTCGACGCCAGCTGACGAAGCCGGTCATTGGGACAGCTTGCCGTGGGCACGGGTGGTCTCTTCAGCTGACAGGCGTTCAAGTCTCCTGCTGTTGTCAGTGTGGTATCTGGGTACGTTGCTGACATGAGCTGCAGCTGTCCCTCGAGGCCATCGAAGTCAGCTACCAGTCGTCGACTGGTGTCAGTAGGATGACGGTAGGTAGACGCGACCAGTAGACGTTTTCGTTTGTCTGTTCGGACGGGGCACCGCACTACATCCAGGTTCGATGCAGCACGAGTCACTGTTGAGGACGTCGGCAGCGTTTCCAGTTCATATTGGACCCATGCCAGAATCGCTACGCCACCGTGTCCCCCGGCAGCTTGCTGGTTTTAGAGCGATCCGCTCTGTACATGTTGTATCCGTCTATTTCCAGTGGACGAACTGGGACGCTTCTGGTGGGCCATGTCTCACTGGGAGCTAACAAGTCACACTGGTACACATCAGATAGGTCTTGACGTAGATCAGCTAATTTTGGCTTGATTGACTGCATGCTCAGTTGCCCAATCAGTGGATCCTTGGAGTTGACATCACCGTGCCGGCTCCAACCCCAGGGCCAGTGGGGAGGGCCAAGGCAGTCAGCCGGCTGTCAGGAGTGGGTCAGGAGCCCGCTCCAGTGAGGGAACCCGTCCCACCGTCCAAGGGGCGAGGGGAGGCCCCACGGGCGCCTTCAAGGTGCGGAGGCCCCGTCCGAGGCTCACTCTGATTGCAGTGTGGGACTGGCAAACGCCGGTGCAGCATTTGCTAGACACGCACTAGAATCCAGTGTCCCCGGTAGTGGACACATTACTGTCTGAATTCGGAACGTGATGTCTGCCCGGATGCACTTTGGCCGAGAGCTTCAGGGCACATGACATCTTACGATGATATGTATGCGTCTACGTATACGGATGACTTCGAATCGACCGACGCTGTGACATGTGCGATCGTGAGTGGCCCTTTCACCCGGCCCTTCGCGCTGCTCGTACGTTGCCTGCTCTTACGGCCGAGTTAATTGTAATCTCTAAAACGCTATGTTTTATCGAGGTGGTAGCCGAGGATTTGCATTTCATTTCAACAGACTGCTTGCGCAGTCTCTTGGCTTTGAAGCGTTTTAATCCCGCTTGTCATGTGGCGCAGGATATCTTGATTCGCCTCACTGCGCTTGATCAGGCGGGAAACTGATTGCTCTTTGTTTGCATCCCAAGTCACGTCGTCTTTCCCTTAGAACGAGCTAGAAGGTGATGCTGCTAAGCGTGCGGCAAAGGCATCATATCCTTGGTCTCTTCCTGTCAGCGGTCTTTTTGCACGCCTCGGAACCTTTGTACATAAAGAGTGGTGGCAGCCAAGCTGAAACACATTAGTGAGCAGCAAGCTCCGACCGATAAAACCGCCTTTAGGGTCATGGCTCTCCTGCTGCCGTGAACAAAGTCGAATAGAAGTTATACTCTGCAGGTGCCGCAGTGGTCGCGCACCGAGCCGCACTCCGTGTGGTGAACACAGGCAAAGTTGCTCGCGTTATGGTGATCATCCTGCGGTTCACCATGCCATTCAGCAATGCCAGCACTTCAATGACGAGAGTCCGCAGTATTTCGAAACGCCCCCCCCCCCATACTAAGTTGCAGTGAGGTGTTGAGTGATGATTCGAGCGTAATTGAGGCGGGTGAGCTTTTCGTATTCATCAAGACTATTGAATGCGCCGCAAAGTACACTCCACGCTGAGTAGTTCAGGGCGCAAGACAACCGTGGTAGTCGACGCGACCTTAGGTCCTAATTAACGCAATGTTGAGCAATTGGGAGGGGGGGGGGCGATTATTGACCTAGCCAGAAACCATACGTCGTATCCTCTTCATCGTTTTAGATGCATTTCATGAGGATTATAGTACTTGCGTAAAGTCCCATTTGCACCTTGCTCCTGCGTTGCCATCGCTGATCCTTTCCCTCATCTACGTCTTACACCACACGCGCTCTCACGAGGAGCGTCTTTAAACAAAATGGGGAAATGGGAACGCATCTATCTGTCTATCTTCCAGTCCTAAAGTGAGTTAAGGTGGCCTTACAACAATTCTATACGTGATATTCGTTAAATTAGTTTTATTTTCTAGCCAAGTTTTGGTCACGGACCTTCTTCACAGAATTTAAAGATTCAAATATAAAACGGATGTCAGGTGCTGGCCAGTGTTGACAGTGTTTTTTTTTTCTCACCCAGCCCACACGTGGTCAAATGGCACACAATACTCATATTTTGACCGAATAGATGACAATAAATGAGTCCCAGGCGATAAAATACGCTTCCTTTGTACATATAAGGACTACATTACCCACCAGAATGATGTATTTCTATTTCGTAGGGGCTTCAGCTTGCGTATGCGGATTACTTCACAACTTATGCAATGGAGGTAGTCTCCCCTTTTCCGCAAAATGTTAACAGTAAAAGATTTCTGATCACGCCGGACCTCATAGTTTTGGTGTGCAGAAAAAATGATTACCAAAGGGAGTGCCAGGAGTTTTGTTTTTTTTTGCGTCTAGGAACTGCTCTTTAAACGATGATCGAATGGGCGTTTTTATTCGTTAACATACGGCACACTTTCACGCCTACACTCACGTATTTAACACGTTATGTGACACAACAACAGACGTCAGATATTTGTCTTTTAAACGTAACAAAGACGCGTCACAAACCTGCTTGCGGGATGGACATACAGTTCGTGATAATGTCGAATAAACTTGATTGGATTTCAAAGTATTCTGGCTTTTCCACGCTAGATGAACACTCAGACCAGACTTTTGGGCGTCTGACGTTACCTTCACACACTAAGCGGTACATACGTAAGGTGATTTAACATAGCCGCCCAGGTGTTGATCTCGTTGTTGTTGATTGTGCTTGTGCTGATGTTGACGTTGATGTTCTTGGCGATGTTGATGGTGATGTTCTCGCTGCTGTTAAAAGGTAAACTTGATGTTGTTATGGATAGAATTAAAGTACTTAATGAAGTTCAGCAGCTCATCGTTCGAGTGAATTCAGAGCACTTTGGAATCATCGATGCCTCTGGCGTAAAAAGCAGGTCTTAGGCGCGTGCCGTTAATGACAGCTTGTTCAGATTTGTGCATCAATGTTATTGCAGCGGGAGGTGCCACGTTGTTGCCCATGGCAATGCCGAGTTGCTGTTTGAAGTGGTCATTGTCAGATCTGAAGGTGTTCCCTTGGAGACAGTTCCCGTGATATCCGCAGGTGTATGACCACGAAGATCAATTTCGCTCCAGTGTTAACAAATAAGATTAATGACCACCGATACAGTATCCACCAGCGGAATGCTGACACATGGGTTGAAAACATTGATGCTGAAAACTGTGGCTTTCCGTGGAAGCTGGTGGTCAAGGAACTGATCTCTGAGTCTTGTTGGGTATTCTTCTGTATTCCTGAGATGAGTTGGGATATAGGCAAGACATTAGTGTAAGATCCTACCTAGGAGCCAAGAGTTTTTTTCAGTCGGACCACCACACACAGAAACAAAAAAAAAAAACACAACAAATGTTTGAAGGTCGGCGGATACGCCTAAGGTAGGAGGAGCACCCCTGAGGTCGGAGGGGCACTGGCAGAGGGGTAAAGGCCAGAGGGGTTCCGCTGCCTGATGGTCCTCTGGTAGCCCATGGAAAACTGATGTTCTGGGGTTTGTGGGTAGAAGGCCCCACGCAAATGGAGCGGGAAGCTTTTTGCAGTATGTTTATGAATCTGTTTGGTTCTTACTTCAGCCTTTCCTGTTGTGTTCCTGGGTTTTTCTTGTCGCTGTTCTCGTCCCGCAGTATTTCGCCAGCTTCATCAAGGCACGTTGTTTTACCCAAAATGACCAGCCTCCTTCATATATCACTTGGTCTCAGAATCATGCCCCCATCCGTCTTTAACAACGCCAAACCTTCTCGTCCCTCTTTCGTAGTGTTTGACTTGTTTTCAATGTATTTTTGGACACGTTAAGAATTCGGTTTTTCAGTGACCTAAGCCGTTTCTCAGTTTCGCCCAAAGTCGTTGGAGGGTTTTTTTTTTACTGAGTCTGGAGAGTTCGACTGAAATCTGCCCCCATTAATCTTCGGTTTTCAGTGTTGTGAGGAATACCGTCTGTAGTGTGTATAGGGGGGGGGGGGGGGAGGGTGCATTTTAATGAAGTTCCACAATATTGTTTGTTATCAGAGTCCCCGCGGCCCGCCACGTGGTGACCATTATTACCGGCTGTGAGCAGGGCGTGCCCGCGATGGTTTCCTTGGCCTGACCGCTAAAATATCGTCCATCCAACTCTATCCTGCTCATCTGGACGGTTTTTGGGACATCGAGATCGTGTCCTCAGCTCGTACCCTTCTGTTGTGTAGTGTCTAATCATTTCGGCATTCAGAGGCAGACCTTATACCATCACACTTGATAATGCATTTTCCAAAAGCTTCAATTTGCTTTATACATCCATGAAGCCTGTGTGCGGACATCCTGTTCCACCAAAATTTATGGAGTGCTGGCGCGAAGTGTCCATATAGCGCTTGCGCACGTTTGGCACCCCTGTTAACATAACGGCTCACTACGCGTGCCAGGACAGCGTACTGTTAGCGTGTTCGTCGCACCATGATACGCTGGCAGCAAGTTGTGGACTCTGATAGCAGTGACATTGCCGACTTATGTAGCGATTCAATGGAGAAGTCCAATTTTGATGACCACGTTCCACGCCGCTGGCCATATACAGCGCAAGATAACGAATGTGACATATGCTCTCTAGTATCATGTAATCTTTTAGTTCAAATTCAAGGTCAAGTAAAGGAGAACTCTTCTGTTACCGTCTGGGATATTTCGGATGGGAGGAAATAAGTTATAGTAGCTGTGCACGACAAAGCTGAAGCCGGCCGAAAGTTAATCATTCCTGGAAAGGTTCGTCATGCACATGAAAACTATTGTTTTTTCGAAGTGTTAAATGCCGTACATGTGATCAAAAATGGTTAGCCTGGTAAAAATGCCATAATAATTCTGGAAACACTTATTTAAAACAAACATAGAACGTGCACCTTGCCTGTGTTCTCCTCGCGCTGGCACCAGGGAATGATCATTCCAGTGGTCAACGTCGGTATCAGTCAGTGGCGACTTCAACATGCGAGAAGCTTGCGAGAATGGATACGGCATAGCTAGTTCATTCATATTCGGAGCCATGGCTGCTGGCTTAGCTATGTCTCACAGAGGACAGGGGATCCATGGCCAATGACCCACATTACAAAAAGTGACACTGTTTTTGTGAGTTTTTGTGAGTACAAAAGTGACTTGTTTTTATAGCATTGGCCGCAGGAAAGGAAGCTGGACGTCTGTAGCGCTGTATCATTACCCCAACGTGACAGAGAACTAAGTAGGTCTGGTACCAAGGGATAGTTCAATCCTGCTTATGCGGCAAGCATGACTTCGACTTTCGGGTGGAATTCCCTTCGCCGATAAGCACGAGTGCGGCACGAGGTCTGAAAAAAATAGTTCGTCGATTTAAAATGAGTGATTTATGTACCAGGCTGACGGAACTAATTTTGAGTAAAATTGAAGTGCATTACAGACTTGCTAAATCATCGCCATGGAAGACACATCCGTCTGTGCCTATGTTACTGTTCTAATATTCATTTTAGTACTTTTCCCCGATTGGCTGTTCGAGACCTTGTTTTGCCTTCATCGCTTTCTCCATGACAAAATACTCAAGATCATGTGTTGTACTATACACTTCGTCTTTAACTGCTTCGGAGTGCTCCTAACAATACTAAGCATGTTCTTCCGTCCAGCTCCATGTCCACGTCCACCGAAGTGCTGTTAACAACGGTTCGGCGCGATACAGTAGACACCAAATTGAACGTTCTACGCATGGAGTTTATTAGCGCAAAACGGCCTAAAAACTGGTGAGTTCCCACCCCAATACATGTGTGGGTTGATCAAGCGAGGTTGTTTTATTCAGCAAGGACCTGAGAAGTGTCATCACCTCAGGGGTCATCTCACATTGCATATGCCGATGTTTCGTGTAATACGCGATTTGAATATCCTTCCAGCAGGCGTGATGATAGCCTCTTTCGAACAATGTCATGTGAAATCGGCGTTTGCCGGTTTCATCACATGCTGTCTCCCTCTTGTTTTTCTTATTCGCCGCTTCATCCTGTATCGTTGCAATGTATTTTCTCACCGGGAGCATATTGCATCCGTCAACCATGGTCGACCTCACAACTGTTCTACGGCAGGCCTTCCCCCCCCCCCCCCCCCGCTCTCATCAGCTGCACACACCGAAGAGGCCTGAGTAGCTGGGTTTCGGGAGCTGTGTCATCCCACGATGGCCGCAAAAATGTTCAACCTCTTACCTCGCGTCATAATTGCATGACTCTGGCATGGCCATTCACAGCCTAAAAATAGCTTTGACCTGACCAAAGTAACAAGAGAATGCACGATGATACGATCTTGACGAGGCCGGGGCCTACAGGCAATTGTGTCCCATTGCCGTTCGGTAATGGACCGTTACACCGCAATATTTTCTCGACGAACATAGCCGATACGCCGTTATCGTCGCACATTCTCGCGCCGGTTCAAGTACGCCCCGTCGCTGGCCGGTCTAAGATTTGTGATGTCTACGTTCGTGCGCGCCTGCCAAAGTCATATCTATACACCCATTGCAAAAGACATTGTTGCCAATAACTGCCATTTCCATAGACAACTCCACAGTCATAATCCAGCGATTCATTGCATACATGGACTCGCAGGGCTTGCGGTTACAGCTAAGCTGATCACAAGTCTGACCGCGAGACACTGCTATCAAAAATCGCTCTTCATATAGAGCCAAGCTCCTTTGTAATGTCTTCCGCGCACCGCATTGTTGTCTTCGGGGCTTCACGACGCACTCAGCTCCTGGGGCTATAGGGCGCCCCTGCCTGTCGCCCCAGCAGGAGGGTGGGCACTGCGGGAACCGAACTCCGTGCCTGAACAGATTCCTCTCCAAAGACCGGTAGCGTCGAAATTCATGAGCTCAACAAATCGCACTTCCGCTTGACTTGTCGCAGCCAGGTAAGTGTACATACCAAATCCCAAGTAGCGCCGTGGCTTCAAAGCTTTGATGAAAACTGTGAGTAACGTCTCTCCTGCAGGTCATTTCAGACGGCCAGCGCTCACACCTTCCCTGTTTGTCTTCAGCGGTCAACGAATATCAACGCAGTGAAATGACAACGTCTCTGCATGTGACTTCACCAGATGCTTCCCGGTACACCAGCAAAACTCCGGTCCACCTAAGCATTTTGGTGGCGTCGCATCTGCCAGCCACCAAACAATGGAGTGGCACCGAATGACCCGTTTCCGAGTGGGCAGAGCTCCGTCAACAGACTATAGCGGTGAAGTTAACAGGTTTGAATGCCAACATGACCGATGCATACACAAGAGATGGGTTTGCAACGCCCACAATCAGCTCAAGGAAGAAAACGACACGCATTGCGCGCTGTTAAAGCGTGAAAATCAAATAAAAGTATAAATTGGTATGTCTGAATACAACGTGCTATGACTTTCACTACCGTCTGTGAATTGATGGTACTCAATAGACAAATATTTTGTGCGAAAGGTCTCTGCCTGAAGTACATTGCGCATGCCTTACCCGCAGTTATCCGCACTGCTGCAAAGCTGTTACCAAGATCACGGTCGATAACATCAACTTTTCAGACTCCTCACAGAAGAAGTTCACACATTAACCCGTCGCAGACGCTGTACATGGAGACGTGAGGCCAATGACGATCCGTGTCGGCTTCACCCTATAACTAACGCTGACTAGCGTAACGACGGACCCAGCCACGTGCACGACCGCGACGGAGGCTGACGACCGGCCAATGCGGACGTTTGCAGCCAGCCTCTGTTCACCGCGGGGCGTCCCCAATCCTCATCCCTTTGTCCGTCTGTGCGGGTTACTCGTCGAGGTGTGGTGCCGCGTTGCAGGCAATACAGGCCATAGGCGAACAAATGGTTCGGTGTAATATATTAAAAACTATCAACAGGCAACAAGCAACAGCTTTTAACTGACATTACAATCTTGCCAATCTGCGTGGCCTGATAATTGGCGATGCATTATCAACAGATCATGTAACAAAACATGTAAGAGGCCCTAGGTCTCACTGTTAGCTTTCAACCGGTGCAATGGGTGAAATGGTACCCACGTGCCCACGCATGGGAGAGGTGCCGACATATATCTAGCGCGCGGAGCGTGCTATAAACCCAGTCCGTCTGGTCACCACGTGCAAAAGGTCAAGTCACTCAGCCCTCGACGTATTACCACACACCATTACTCGGGGCACGACAGCACCATCCCATCGTACCGCACGACGGAGAAAAACAGAGTCTCAGCCGCGCTTACAAGCGCTGACTTGTGGTAACACTTCACTGACAGCCACAAAGTTGAATCATACTTTGTTTGGAAACACTAGTGGAAATGACATTGTTCTTAATTTCGCAAGCGAATGACTGGTCAAGAAGTGAAATTACTGCAGAGTAATAGCCGCGCAAAGCAAACCAACTAAAGCAAAGTGAATACAATAAGCTTCTAGCGCTGCGTGGAACTCCTCTCCTGCTATGGATAGACAATCGGTATCCGCTAAAAATGTCCTTGCCCTCAAGCACCAAGTATATCCCGTACGAAACTGCATGCACTTGGCCAATCAGAACCGAACAACAATCTGAAAGTCGGAGCTTCCAACCAAGTGAATGCCATCAGCTCGCACGAAGCGAATTGGTAGGAGCAGAGACGTAAACGCAAGAAACGCAAACAAAACTGCGAAGCTGAGGAATTTAAGCGAATATAAACCTGGGGCGTAGGGGTAGTCTGTCGTAGACGCACCGTAAAACACAATATCGCCCACGGGGTACTACATTAAGTAAAAATACGGATCAATTGTCATCGAAACAGCGCAAGGAGCAGCAAGTGCACTTTTCCAAAACATTTTTTGAACACCTGCTTTCCGGTAACAGCAGTTTCCTGTGTAACGGCGGTTCACTAAGTCCGCCCGAACCGAACACGCCCATCTCCACAGCGCCGACCCGAGCGGCCCGAGTCGGCTCGCGCGCGGTCGGTGCCGCAGGGCGCTCACAGATGGCAGAACGCCTGGAACATGAGCACCTCGTGCTGGCTGTCGAGCCGCAGAGTGACCGCCTCCCCGGCCGGCACGAACAGCACGGTGCCGCGGCGCACGGCGGCGTCGCCGCAGCGACCCGAGCCGGACACCACCAGCAGCAGGCTGGCCGAGTCCCGGGTGGGCAGCGTGTAGCCCGTATCCGGCACCACCGGCCGGAACTGCAACCCAGACACACGGCAGGGGTCAAGTGGCGCCAGATGGGCGGCCGCAGGGTGCCGGCGCACACTCCGTCTCTCTCCGCTACCACCGGCGGGAGCTGCAACCCAGATATACGGCAGGGGTCAAGTGGCGCCAGATGGGCAGCCGCAGGGCACCGGTGCACACTCCGTCTCTGTCCGCTACCATCGGCGGGAGCTGCAATCCAGGCACAAGGCAGGGGTAATTAACGCCAGATGGGCAGCAGAAGGGTGCCGGTGCACACTCCGTCTCTGTCCGCTACCACCGGCGGGAGCTGCAACCCAGACACACAGCAGGGGTCAAGTGGCGCCAGATGGGCAGCCGCAGGGTGCCGGTGCACACTCCGTCTCTGTCCGCTACCATCGGCGGGAGCTGCAATCCAGGCACACGGCAGGGGTCAAGAAGCGCCAGATGGGCAGCCGCAGGGTGCCGGCGCACACTCCGTCTCTGCCCGCTACCACCGGCGGGAGCTGCAACCCAGACACACGGCAGGGGTCAAGTGGCGCCAGATGGGCAGCCGCAGGGTGCCGGCGCACATTTCGTCTCTGTCCGCTCGCTGTCTCTGTCCGCTACCACTGGCGGGAGCTGCAACCCAGACACATGGGGCGAAAGTATGTCCACGCATAGAAAACGAGAGCTTGAGAAACATTTAATATAGTAAGGTCGTTATGGACTATTAAGCAACTACGAAACGTGTTAGGAGCCTCATGCAAACAAGATGTGCCAAAAAACTGTACGAACTATTAAGTCGGCGTTACTTTATCAACATGCGTCTTCTTTTACGCACAAAAGCAACGTCCATGTCAGCAATTGGAAAACATAAGCTAAACTGACAAAGTGATGTTTACGAAAAGTATCTGTATAGCCTCATGCGCTTTTGCGCTATCATGAGCACAAGGCCACCAACACGTTTCTTTTCTTTGGAAATACGACAGAGACACCCAGCCTGGCTTATGCCCAGCTAAAACCTCCCCTCGCACTGCCCTCGTTACAGGCGACGGGCGGGAGATGCGATCCCCCTCAGGTTCGTGGCTGAGCTTTCCGTGTTACTTGGCGCCATTGCACCCAAATTTTCAATAACTTGAGGGCATTCGGTGGGGGTCTTCTGACATCAAAACCTGTCCGGCACCTCTGGTTCCTGGCTAGACGCTTACAGGAACGTCGCACAGCACAGCTACTGCCGGCGCGGGAGGCGGCCGGTGACCGACAGATCCAGCGATCGCAGAAGGAAGATCGCAGACACTGGGACATTTGTGCACCTCCATCCCGAATCATCAGGATATGCTCAAAACACGCAAAACCGCACGAGGATGCACCGAAACTTGAACACACGATACGCCTGTATATATTTCATGTTGCTACATTACATTCTTTCGTTAACATTAACATGAAAAGCAGAAATGGTTGCATTTCCGAAACAGCAATGGCCTCTGATCCGGCAAAGTGGGCGAATTATTGATCAAGCAACACAAAATGTGTGATCAGCGGCCCGATCTCGCTGAGGACAATCCGCTGTTTTCGTTCTTAGCCAGACTATATCGTTCTCAGTTTGGAAATGGCAGGGCGGGTCGCGTTGACGCCTATCAACCATCCGTTTTTTATGGCAAACGACCAATCCGGGCGAGGGATAACTCACCGACATAAATACGCGTCAAACGAACGTCGAAAGAAGTCAAACGTTCGTGAGTGTGGCCGGTTGAGTCACATATTTCAAATGTACACATGGCTAGCTGCCCACCAAGGCATCAAGCTTGCACACTTATACACAACCTTGCATGCGATGCATAATAATTCGCAACGTTTCTGCCCGCGCACTGCTGGCCACGGGCACCGCAAAACACCATGACCACGTGGCCATGCTCATAGCAGATCTGCCTGGGCACTGCACTGCTCGTGGTCGCGTGCACGGACACGACCACATACCACACACAAATCACGCTACAGTACGCATGACACGAGCCAGGCCGAGCGCCAGCTGACCTCACCTGTATCTTGGCCAGCGTGAAGTCGGGCACGGGCGGGTCGAACAGCACCACGCCGGGGCCCTCGGTGCCGGTCGGCGCGAACAGCTGCTGCTCCGGCGGCGCGCACTTGTACGTCAGCATGTCCACCAGGGTCGGCACGTCCTTGAACTTGGGCGTCAGGCCGGCGCGCACCACGTTGTCCGAGCAGGCCATCAGCTCCACGCAGTCTGCCCGGAAGGAGCACGGAAGCGTTAACAGGGCCTTCGTCTCGCGCTGCTCGCAGCACGTGATTCACGCGCGTGTGGTGCGGGGGATCGCTTTAATCGAGCGCGGTAGAACATCAGGCAGAAATGTGGTGCACTGGTGTGTTGGCTAGGTCGGGATATTCACTCATATAAAACAGGTACGTTCATTCGCATATTCGGATGTCACGCAGCGCGTCAATCTTGACGTAAGGATGTCACGCAGCGCGTCAATCTCGACGTAAGGATGTCACGCAGCGCGTCAATCTTGACGTAAGACAGAGGTGAACGACAACGATCAGCAGCACACAGGACGGGAACAATGAGGACCAGAAACACGCCCGTAAAGGACACAGCATACCTTAGGACACGTTGTTTTCCAAAACCGATCGGTGCATTTTCCTATTCAACCTATTTGCGGAGAACACGTTTCCACAAAGCACTGAGAAAACTGCTGAATAATCCGTGAGCTAAAAAGGCAAGCAGGAGGGCTGAGCCATCGCATACGGCACAAGCCGCCTGACCTCCGACCACTGACCTCCCAGTAAGTAGGCGTGCGGCTCGTTGGGGCCCAGAAACAGCGCCTCGCCAGGCTGCAGGGTCAGGTGATTCAGAAACAGGGCGCAGAAGCAGCCCACGTCGCCGGGGAACTGGCCATTGAGGCGCAGCAGCAGCTCGGACGGCACGTCCTGGCTCGGGGAGTCCCCTGCCGACAGTGTCCATAGCTGACGGCCGACGACGCGCCGACCGGCACACCAGCGACAACAGCCAAAGGCGATCACAAGGGAAGGGTAGGGCCATGACTCTCTCTCCGAGACAGCTCAAGGTGGGCAAACAACGACATGTTTGCAGACTTTAAGGAAATCTACGGAGCTTTCACCAATAAACATTTGTTCAAGAACACTGCTTATCATTAATAGAAACAAATCCTGTTCAGGTTTGGACAAAAAGAACCAGTTTTGGGATTGTGCCCCCCCTCCCCCCCCCACACAAAGCCAGGTATTGCATCTGCCCAAGGCGTCACTTTGCACCCAACATTGACGCCAGACAGACTCCTA